GATCAGGGCGGCACGTTCCACGTGACTGTCCCTTTTTAGTCTTTTTGATCTCTTGTCCGGTGTTACCGTGACACCACTACAGCTACTGTACGTTCACCCGCAGGTTACTAGGTTCGCTGTTCTGACTCTAGCAAGCATATGAGCTTACTACCTCTTAAAAGCAAGTACGATTGCATGAGGGTTCTAGAACTGAGAACGTTCAGAGTCACAGGTGGAAGAGGTTAGTCTTCCCACTGCTGCTCCACCCCTTTATATAGTCGCAGACCTATAGTCTGGGGTACTAGTACAAGGGGTCCTCTACACTGCCTCAGTGATAAAGATAGGTGAAACACATAGGAGCTTAGCTGCTGCGAGCCAGGTAATTGGCGAGCTAAGAAAAGCGTAGGTGAAATACATGAAATATGAAATGAGAACCAAAGTCCTGGATCGCAGATCCTGGGGTTAGAGTTTGAGAACCCTAGAAGCTGTCCTCAGTCACATAGTGACTGATACCACCTGACCGTGATTGGGCGTCTCTTCTAGGTGCTTGTTCATGGGGATCACGTGACCATGAGCGACGGTTCATTTCATAACACGGACCCAGCTCGGAGTTGAGCTTGGGGTGGACGAAACGTGAAGAAAGGAAGGACATGGTCCAACAGACCTCATTATCCAGGAAGCCCATAGATTGCAGGGTGGAGAGCAGGACATCATGTCAGATGTTATTGTAATAGCCCTCGACGTCCATGCAAAGCAGGGTGGCAGAAAAACCATTCTCTCATGCAGTGCGAACACGATGAGTGAGTATGAGCCCAGCATCCATGATGGAGTGCTGCCCACAGCCACCAAATTGTGTGCTGGGGATTAGATCATGAGTGCCAATCTGAAAATTGAAACGTGCAGAAACGACCTTCTCGAGCACTTTGCTGAGAGTCTCAAGAAGGGCAATGGGATGGTGCGCTTTGAGCACCGTATAGTCATCCTTGCCTGGCTTAGACAGGTAGACCACGGCAGCCTCGCGCAGTGATGTGGGTAAGTGTCCCAGGTGCAAAGATGCAGACAAGAAAGAAAAGAAAAGGTCACGTGCACCGGAGCGCCAGACCCATTTTAAAAGTCATCACGAAGTGCCCGAAACCCCTGAAGTGGAGAAGTTCAAGGCAGATTCGATGGCAGCGGTGACCTCAGATAGCAGCAGGGGCTGGTCCGGTCATGCTGGCAGTGGAGCAGAAGTAAAAAGGGGAGGGGGGGGCAGATCAGGTGAAGGCGGAGATGGAGGAAAGTAGAAGCAGGTGAGCAGATGACCAGCGTCTGCTGGAAGAGTCCCAACCTTGTCCCCTAGATGGATGATGGGGAGAGGTGGGATGCGTACCCCTTTGGTCCAGGCAGCAAGCTGCCAGAGATTGGTATGCTGCAGTCAGAAGAGGGCATTGTGTGTCCAGTCCTTGTGAGCCTGTCGTATAGTGGCGCAAAGGGCATGCTTGGCAGCGAGGTGTTCTTCGCAGGTGGTCACCTGCTGCACCTGGGCCCAGGCGTGATCACAGGTTTCATTCCACCAGAGCTGGGACTGGCGATGAACGTGGGTGCACTGGGGAAAAATCTCACGGTTAGCGATGATAAGGGCGTGCATAAGTGCCAGAGCTCCACGCTCAAGATCATCGATGCATTGGTAGGCATCAGAGGGCAGACGCAGGAAGAGCTCACACTCCACACATGCCAGCCAGTCAGTTTGTCTGGACGCGTCGACCCTAAATCCAAGGTCAACTTGGGTTGGGCGAGTGGTGTGCATGATGGTAGTGGTAAGGATGGCATGGTCTGAGGCAAAAGAAGCGACGGTGGCAGCCACCCCGAGGACCTGAAAGTCACCTGAGGAGGTAGCACATATTAGGTTGATGATCATGCCTGACATGGGGTCATCTCTGACCATATGGGTAGGTTGGTCCAGGTCATTGAGTAGTTTGAGCGACTCGCGCTCGAGCCACTGCACGAACAGGAGGGATGCAGCAGTGGTGGGCCATGGTGCACGTTCTATCCATGACCAAAGGGAGTTGTGGAGGTTGAAATCTCTTCTCATGACCACACGGGCCTGAGGCAAAAGTGCAACATTATATAAAATATTGAGGACGTGATGACGGGAGCGCGACCCCTTGTTGTAACAGTTGATAGCATAAAAGGAAAGAGAGGGATCAGTCCATGAAATGAAATGGAGGATAACGAGATCAGGATCTGACACCAGGTCAGTGCGCATGGTGATATGATATGCGGACAGCATAGCCCGCTGCACCAGGATGCTGGCACGGGAGTGCTGTGGAAGAGGTATAGTGGAAAGCGTCCAGGCCATATGGCCGGACATTGACATGTTCATAGATGGTAGAACCAGACTCGAAGCCGTGGGGGGTATCGATACCGATTTGTCCCCACCATGGCTCTTGAAGGAAATAAATGTCAAAAGAGGAAGAAGAAATGAGACCGTGAACATGCAAATTGGACCGGGCCACATTTAAATGAGCAGTTGTGATATTCATGAGGAAGGGTTGGTGCGCGAGATGGGAATGTGGTAGTCTTTCCGCGCAGGGCATGTGGAGTCTGCGGCGCTGTGGCCATTAGTGCCACAGACGATGCAGAAGTAGTGGGTGGGGTCACAGGGCTGCCCCATTGGATGGTTCTCATGATTGCACATGAGGCATGCCTGACGGTGCATGTCAACTGTGTGGTTGGTTTTACCACAAAAGCGGCGCATGGGGGTGCACTTTTTGCAGTGACTTTTGAGATGAGTGAGGCGTCAGCAATGCGTGCACTGGCAGAAAATGGGTCTGTCTTTTGACTTCTTTACAGTCATGCAGGAGCCATAAAACCATATGAAACTGGCGGTGTCACCGCGGTTATCACGACCGAGAAGGTTTCGCATGCAGAAATTACAGTGGGTGTCCTCAACAGACACAATGATGGATGACTTTCCCAGCTGCTCTCACTGCTCAGAGGGAATTATGAAGGCTGGTAGTCCATTGAAATGCACAGAGGAGAACATGGAGTTGCAACTAAGCTCCACAAGGATTTCCTCCTCAGTGAGCATAACATCCGTGTCTAGGTGGCGAAGGGGGCAGCTTGGGATGAACAATTTCATGACTGGAGCAAGCGGATGGAAATCCTGCAGCACGGTGGCCAGCTTGCGTGGGCCCGGTGCCGGCGAAGATGCACGGGGTACAACACTGAGCTAAACATTCACGGATGAGAGCATCTGGAGAGTCATTAGAGAAAACCGCCATGATCTTTGTAGGCCCGGCGAAACAGAGATCGAGGAAATTTACCTTTGCCCACGCTGGCGTTTCGCACAGGCAAGTATTGATTTTGGCATACCACTGTGGCATGGATCTGCCCTCCTCGATGGAGGTGTGTTGCGTGAAGGTGATAAGAAGCACGTAGCTTTTCTCATGAGGCTTGGCAGCCACTTGAGCCATGGTGGGGCCGGCATGTGCCTGTGTAGTAGGTTGAGCCGTGGCTGCCACATTGGAGCCTTCAGTGCATTTGCGACCAGCAGGCATGGCAGATGGTTGCTGCAGGCCATTCAGCTTTGGGGGTGGGAGCGGCGGGGGCAGCCAGTTGCGAGCAAGTTGTGCCTCGATAGCTGTAAGCCTCGTGGTGATGGCCATGTTGGCCATGCAGACACCGTCCTCCATGGCCTTGGCAACTGCAGCCTGAAGGTCGATGCTTGCAGGGAGGGTGGTGTCGTGGCACTGATGAGAGCTGGGTGGGATGGACAACTCGGGCAGCTTGTTGTCATAATCGTGAAACTGAAAGGGGGCCATGTCTGTAAGAAAATGTTCAAATATTTTTATGGCCTCAACGCCTGGGCCAGAAGTGGAAAGAACTCGATCTGACATGAGCTCGGTGTGGAGCTCATAGCAGGTGGTAGTGAAAAGGCTGACAGATGACCTGGGCGAAATTGTCGACAAAGGTGGTAGAGTTGGCATCCTGGATGAGGGGCTGAATAGTGCCATTCAGTGACTTGATGTTGTTGGTGATGTGGCGCAGGAGGCCATTGAATCGCACCATTGTCATGTCTTGTTCCTCGACGAGCGAGGCTCGGGTGGGTGGGGCAGTCGGTGTGGGTGGGACGGTAGCATTACTTTGTGGTGGTGCAATAGGCTCGACGCCGGAGGCCTCCATGTCAACATCGCTGATGGTCACTGGTTGAGTGCCTAAAGCGGACATGGTGGTTACTGAAAGAGGAAGGTCGAGATAAATACAGTCTGCTTTGAAGAATGGACATCACACTCCGTTGTGAGTGAGATCACTCAAGTATAAAGGGAGCCTCGGATGTTATACAAATATAGATTGTTGCATTGTGAACGGCATGAGATGGCAAGGAAAATCTGTGGAGCACCCGACCGTCACTGTGAGATTTGTTCGCAATGCTTAACAGACAGGGGCCTCCAGACAAACTGCCTTTCCCTCATGCTCTATAGTGTCTGCAAAGACAAGCTGGATTTCAGCGTGCGTTGCTGATCGCGATCAGATCAGCCTCTTCCCGAGTAAGGGTTTTGTATTTGAATCCGCTCAAAGATGCTTAGACAATACCATAAAGCAGATCGATCAATATCATAGAGTCAATTGCGGCAAGAACACAGTACTCGAGAGCTTGCGAGATACTGCAGGTGACCCACTATGGACATTTTTGGATGCATCGGGCTTTGTGAGGAATATATCTCGAAAGCCCTAAGGTGAGCTTGCATTGAAGAGTATCGAATCGACGTTGACGAGCTCAAATCTGAGCATCTGTCCGCGTCATATTGTCAGATCACCATGCTCAAGGTCTTCGCCAAGGTGGTGTGGTTCCTTTCGATAGAGCGGAAGCCCATCCATCATCAGGATAGAAGAATCCTCAATAATTTGGCCGTCTTTTAGTATGCTGCGACATAATGTGATGTCCACTGCTGATCATACTGAAGGCCATGGGCGCCAGTGTCAAGCTTGGGGTCAAACTTATTGCAGACGAGCCCGGTGTCACGCGTCATGTGCAACCACCACATCTTGCAGCAGCTCTCGGAATATGGTCACGATAGTACGGCAAAGCTTGCAGCTGAATGTGAGTGACCGATATCCGCTAATCTTACATAAGGCGAGTTAATTCGATCTCGAGAGATTTCACGATATCAAGTTCTGGACTTTACAGACCGCTAATGTAAAGACTATGTCCTTCGTCCTGATACTAACACCGGGGGGGCATGAGCCCATGATTCTGCCGGGAACATTTTGGACACATTGTAATAACAGCTCAAATAATTACGCAATGTTTTCAGTGCATATATCTTGAAATCATTTTGAATGTTTTAAGATGTTTTAAGAATTAGCATTGTGAAACAATTTTGATAGCATTCATAAAGATGCAAGAATGAGACCCCAATGTTGCAGCTGACAGCATTCAAGCAATATTGCCATAACACTACAAATGTTTCTTCAGAGAAAATTTTAAATGATATCCATGAGGGGCCATGATGTCTTCAAGATGTTCCCATTGAGTTCACTGTGATCGCATAAATGGTATTGCTATATATAGTAATGTGCTAACCACATTAGGACATCTCCGATGCATTCAAAATGATTCCAGTCGGCACATGATGAAAAGCATCTGGTACTCATTGCAATATCACATTGATCACATTTTTAATGTATCCTTATGATTCATTCAAAATGTTGCCAACATATTTTGTGAATGCTGGCCAGAGTAAAATTGTTGTCGCACCATGGTGTCTTTCTGAATAATATCACAATTATTCCACAATGAACTCACTCGAAATAATTCAAATCATTCCATAATGTTTACATCAGTAACAGTAGAGTTACATTGTGACTGTTATCATGATGTGTTCAAAATGTTCCCGGCGGAATTATGGGCTCATGCCCCCGGTGATATAATGCCGTTTCATACGAGACGCATTGGCCTCCGTCCGAGCGCCTTTTTTTATTATTGGTGATTAACGCTGATTTCTACGATATCGGCGACACTGCAGCAACTAGTCTTCCAACAGTTCTCGCCGGCTCCATCGCTCCCGACGAGACTGGTCATCGCCACACCCCTCAACCGAGGTCCCGCAAGCAGCACTGTCACATCATGTGCACGAATTAGTTAAGGCAGTGTTCATGCATGCAGGTTTTCAAGAGTCAGGTCTGCCTACCGCCCACTCCGAGTCGAACTAATTTCCTGAATATCACCAGCAAAATGACCAGCACACTGCGAGCATCAATTTGAAGAGAGTTGAGCAATATAAGCCGCGTATTCACGGAGCTCTCTCAGTTTCTTTGTCACCATAATTGCTGTTGCTATCTTCGAGCACATTGTATGTGACGCATCATTGTGTGTGTGTGTGGCGTTCACTTGTGTTGACTGTTTTGATAATGCTAATGACGCAGTCCTTTCGCTCGGGGGGTTGAAGGTCGTCTAAGTACAAAGTGCGAACTCCATTGATATATGTATAGTATATATCATTCCAGAATCGTCGAGGCATGGTATGAATTGACAGAGAACGTCCGTATACAAGCGAAATTGAAGCACAACTAAAATGCAGCTATGTCGGGTATCAAAACGTTTCAACATATCAGAGTTACTGCTGCTGAACTGGCACGAACGCATTGCGCATATTGAACAAGCGCACGGTGCCGTCGTCAGAAGCCGATAAAATGTGTTTACTATCTGCAGAGAACTGCAAACGACTAATGTTATCCGCGTGTCCGCTCCACCGTGCCACGCATTGCCCCGATTCCGTATTCCAAACGCACACTTGATGGTCTGCTGAGCCCGCGGCAACGAACTTGCTATCGGGAGAGAAGGTCGCGGCATTGAGCAAGCCATCATCTCCGTCGAACTGTCTCAATAGTGTGCCGTCGAAGGAGTCGCAAACCTTGACCGCCTTCTCGCTGCCGACCGAGATTATCCTCTTTCCGTCAGGAGTAAAGATGGCGTCCCAGACGGAGCCCTTGTGCTCGTGCAGGATCAGGTACTCATCACCTGTCATGGCGCTCCATATCCTGACACTGCCATCGTCTGACGTCGTCGCGATACGACGGCCATCAGGAGAGAAGCAGACAGAGTAAATCACACCCTCGTGACTGTCAAGTTCGGCAATTGTGCTAGCATTCCGCGCATCCAGAATGCGAGCGACGCAGTCGGCGCTAGCTGAGACAAGTCGAGACGAGTCGGGGGAGTATTTCACGAGCATTACCATGGCATCATGCTCATCGGAGGTAGCCTTCGATCTGCCCGTTTCGACATCCCAGAGTCGCACGGTGTAATCGATGGATGCAGAAGCTATGGTCTTTCCGTCGGGGGAGTACACGACCGAATTGACGAATCCATGATGTCCGACAAGGATAGCGCGCTGGTACTCATCACGAATGTTCCAGATGATCAGGCGGGCATCGCGCGAGCCTGAGACTAGCTCGAGATTGTCTGGCGAGAATGCAAGGCAGCAAATTGTATCATTATGCCCCTGCAACTCGACAACTCGGCGCCGGGTTTGCGGGTCCCAGATGACGATGGAGCCGCTGTCAAACCCACCCGCGGCGTATCTGCCGTTCGGGGAGTAGGCGAGTGCGGAAATACCTCCACGCTGCGCATTGATTGACAGCTCGAGCAGGTAGTCGCTTGTCTCGAATTTCTTTCCCAAATCTTCTTTTGTCCCGTCGTCCTCGTCCATGCGGTCAACTTGTTCGTTGGGGTTAGCAGGCGCAGGAGGTGGATCGGTAGTCGCATCCTGTGCTGCCCCATCAGCAACGTCCATTGACGCGTTGTCAACCTGCTCTCCAGAGGGTGTCTCCTCGGCGAATTGTTGACGTGAAGTGATATCCTCGAGCGAAAGTATCCCGACTGGCAGAACATGAGCAAATCCTACCATTTGTGCTGCAGATGAGCACTCACTTCCATCCTCTGTTACCTCAACCTGAGGACTGACATTCCGAAGAAAGGCCGGAATATCGTCAGGAATCGGAAACTCGGTATCTTCAGGACGTACAGCCTAGTGTTTAGGCACTTGAGGACGAGTATACATCAAATGATATATTTCTATTCACCTTGCATATATCGATGAGCTCTCCGTCACTGGCTACTGCAACTTCAGCAGAAGAGTTCTATAAAATGTTTAGTCATTAGCATGAAGGCGAGCAGTTCCATTCGGCATACCTCGAGAATGTAATCAAGGAGATAGTCCACAGGGTCGTAGCGCTAAATGCACCGTGAGCTTATAGTTGATGTTATCAATAATGTCTGCAGTCTCACCTTCACCGGCGCCGGCACCTGTTCGAAATGGTGATCATCCCCTTCAAACGATGGATCTCGCGGTTCAGCCATAGCCTCCATGAACTTCATACCGAGGAATCGCCTCTTGAGCTTGAGATAGTGCAAGAATACGCATTGATTCATGGCTAGAGCTTGGTTCACATCGGGCTGTGACGAATTACTCTCTTGGGGTCTGGCGCGACCTTTACCTTTTGGGTTGCGCTGCTTCCCGCCACCGCGGTTCGTTTGATTATTGAGTGTTTTCTGGCTCTCTGGACCAGAACGGTAGTCGTATGTCGGGCTGGATTTATGAGTGGCCTCGAGACGCAGATGACCACTAGCTACGGCCCCGCTGTCGGCGCTGATACTAATCTGTGCGCTTTTTCCTTGCTGAGTGAAAGCAGCCACCATCCACTCTGTTGTCTTCACCCATCCGCGGACAAATATGATATCTTCCTCAGCCACTTCGAGGCCCATTTCACAAGCGAATGTATACCAATTGCGAACATGAAGGCCCATGTGTGTCTTCATTTTCCGAATTTGATGTAGTTCCTGCCGAGTGGCGGATGCACCGAGCACGAGAAAAGCACCCTGATCTTCAGTAACTTCGCATTTGAAAGCGAGTTCAGCGCTGTACCTGTAGGTAGGATAGATGCAATTGCCACAAATGACTATCGCCGACGCTACTCACGCTGTAACTTGACCGTCAATCGCTAGATGCTTGACACTTTGACTGCCCAAGAGACCCTTAGGGATAGCATTATCCAGCCGTTTTGGCGCCAGATTGCCGATAGAGAACTTCTCGAATTTCTCCGGTACGCCGTGCGTTCTGTTCAAATCGTCTGTACCATCTTCAGTTGCCCTGAATAAACGATAGAATCCTCCTCTCCGGATATATCCGACGTCTCCGATTTCCACTTCACCAACATCCTGGGGTTCAGGCACCCAAAGGGGATATCCCTGGCCACGTTTGCCAAGTTCACGGGCGTACACGTTGTCTGCAGTATTATCGGTATTCATCGCGATGGAAAAGCGGGTGCGGACTTCGTAGCTGCAGAAAGAAGTGGATAGCGCACCAACGCACAGCACCCAACTCCTTTATCAGTCCGCTGTATTCGTGCCACGAGGCTGTATGCAATCGATAGATGGTGGCTGTGATCGTGCTTATTTGGTTCCGAGTCGACGAACAGGGAACACGAGCCAAGGCGTCAATCCTGCGTGTTTGTAGCAGATGACCCTATCCAGACCAGAAGACCCCTCAGGCGACCGACACGTATCGTAGCATTCCCTAAACTGCCACGACTGCATCGTATTTGAGTTCAAGCAACGCGTACAGAGCTGAAGGCCAAGGATATCATTCCGACAAGTGAGTCGTGACCACATGAAAGAGATTTGAAATTCGACTGTGTCAAATCTAGTAGTAGAGCATCAGCATCGAGCACAGCAGGCATCCATCTGCTATACTGTAGGCCTTCAGAAAGTAAAGCTGGTACCGTCCTTGCATGGAGAGCCTACAGAACAGGTACCTCAGTCCTCAAGTATAAAACCCCCGGCACGATCACGTGACGCATCCTGGCGCGTCTACTCAACGGCGGATGGCGGATGGAGTCTGGACGGAGGAGGACTCATTTCGAAAACGCATCCAAATCTTACGTGCCATTTCAGTTCATTTTAACTCAGCATGCTCTTCAGCTGATTGCTATTGAGACACCTTCACCAGCCTTCACGCTACGGATCTACTCACCTGACAGAGAGCCTCTCACGTTTAAGTGACTCATGATGCCGGGGGCATGAGCCCATGATTCCGCTGAGAACATTTTGGACACATCACGATAACAGTCACAATGTAACTCTAATGTTACTGATGTAAACATCATGGAATGATTTGAATTATTTCGAGTGAGCACATTGTGGAATAATAGTGATATTATTCAGAAAGACACCAGGATGAGACAACAATTTTGCTCTGGCCAGCATTCATATAATATAAGGTGGTAGGGCCAGTGCCGGCAGCGCCCGCTATGTCGAGCACGCTTACTGTGCCAGCCGGCGCTTGGCGCAAAACACTCAACCCGCAGAGTAAGATTCATGGTTCGTTAGGGTGTTTTATGTGCAAAAGATATATTTCTGCACATAATGAGATGGGGCGAGGAGGGATTTGGAACACTTCGCATACATTATGTTTGTGAGTAGACACCCTAGAATCGGTAGTTCATGTAACAGGTGGTTAGGTAGGTTACTTTTGAGTGGTAGAGGAGATGGAACATAATGTAGAAACAGAAAAGGCATGTAAATTGACTAAATAATATCGTGAAAACGTTCTTTGATTTTGCGGAGCCTTGAACGATGACGTGAGCCATTGAGAGCAGACATGTCAAGAAGAAATCAGACTGCACGCAAAGGCTAGTGTACGCGAAAAAGAGATGGCATGGTTCGGCAATGACGTACAGGCTCCATCGATGACTTTAGGGCAGGACCCGAGTTTTGGTGGAGAGTCGATGAACGAAAAAACCACAAGAGCCCACTACTTACGTAGCAGGAATATTGGTATCATTTTGTATGGATCTTAAGGGTACATTACAAATGTGATCAACGTGATGTTACGATGAGTACCAGAATGCTTTCCATCATGTGCCGGCTGGAATCATCTCGGGGATGTCCTAATATGGTTAGCACATTACTATATATAGTAATAACAATTATGCGATCACGATGAATCCATTGGGAACATCTTGAGAACATCATGGCCACTCACAGGTATCATTTGAGATTTTCTCCCAAGAAACATTTAGGATGCTATTGCAATAATGCTTAAATGCTGTCATCTGCAGCATTGGGGTCTCATTCTTGCATCTTTATGAATGCTATCAAAATTGTGCCGCAATGTTGATGCTTAAAACATTTTAAAGCATTAAAATGATTTCAAAATGTATGTGCTAAAAACATTGCATAATTATTTGGACCGTTATCACAATGTGTCCAGAATGTTTCGGGCAGAATCATGGGCCCATGCCCCCGGTGTGAAAAGCTGGCGTCATGCGCTGTCACACTCATCCTATGTCAGCGCTACCCGTATGATAAGTTCGAAAAGAGTTCGACGTGCCGGACACCTTTACAGTGTGGAAATGCGTATAAAATCGATTATGCTCCACAGTCCATAGTAGTAGCTATTTACCAGCTCGGTAATGGTATTACTTATCACTACGTGCCTTCAGGATTCAGGCGCAGTGCAGTCAGCAGTTTCCGAGACGGACGAGATCAACCGGAGGAACATTGTATAAGAGCTTGTGCCATAGTGTCGTTATGTATCCATATAACAATCTGGAGGCACACGGGTAGTCGATGAGCGCAAAGTTTATGATCTTTTCATAGAAGGACTACACGATAAAATATTTCATCAGAGTCCGTGGCATGTAGTTCATTGGGAGGGAGGATAAAATGATCAGGTGCAGATTACACGTGCATAAGGCCAGTTGAATGCGGACGACGGGAGCGGGAGGCGACAAACAGTGTCGCCGTGGTTTCGTAGATCGCGCACGCCGAGAGAGCATGTCGGATCCCATGCGACAATAGAGTCGCTATTGGGTCCATTCGCAGCTAACATGCCATCTGGAGAATTCGCGGGTGCTAAAATGCCCCCGATATCCACACTGAGGGGTCCATGGGAATGATCACTGTTCTCGTATCTTCCCCTCAGAGAGTTGTACACTGGCACGCCCTGCACGTCTTCATGTGCACTTTCGGTGGGCGCGTCATCGACCTGCTCTCCGGTGGCTGTAATTGCAACATTTAGCCGATCCAGACTGATATCCTCGAGCGATAGCATCCCGACTATTGGGACGTGAGCATGGCTGCCCTCTGTATCTTTACAAGCACAAACACTCACTTCCGTCCTCTGTCACCTCGATTTGCGGCCGGACATTCCGGAGAAAGGCGGAGATATCATCGGGAATGACAAGCTCGGAATCGTTAGGATACACACTCTAGTATTGTCCACCTTAGTCGCATGTTCGCATCCATCGTAAAGTGCCTACTCACCTTGCATAAATCGACGAGCTCTCCGTCACTGGCTACTGCAACTTCAGCAGAAGAGTTCTATAAAATGTTTAGTCATTAGCATGAAGGCGAGCAGTTCCATTCGGCATACTTCGAGAATGTAATCAAGGAGATAGTCCACAGGGTCGTAGCGCTAAACGCAGCGTGAGCTTATAGTTGATGTTATCAATAATGTCTGCAGTCTCACCTTCACCGGCGCCGGCACCTGTTCGAAATGGTGATCATCCCCTTCAAACGATGGATCTCGCGGTTCAGCCATAGCCTCCATGAACTTCATACCGAGGAATCGCCTCTTGAGCTTGAGATAGTGCAAGAATACGCATTGATTCATGGCTAAAGCTTGGTTCGTCTCGGGCTGTGCCAAATTACTCTCTTGGTGTCTGGCGCGACCTTTACCCTTTGAGTTCCCCTGCTTCCCGCCACCGCGGTTCTTTTGATTATTGAGTGTTTTCTGGCTCTCTGGACCAGAACGGTAGTCGTATGTCGGGCTGGATTTATGAGTGGCCTCGAAACGCAGATGACCACTAGCTACAGCCCCGCAGTCGGCGCTGATACTGATCTGTGCGCCTTTTCCTCGCTGAGTGAAGGCAGCCACCACCCACCCTGTTGTCTTCACCCATCCGCGGACAAATATGATATCTTCCTCAGCTATTTCGAGGCCCATTTCACAAGCGAATGTATACCAATTGCGAACATGACGGCCCATGTGCGTCTTCATTGTCCGAATTTGACGTAGTTCCTGCCGAGTGGCGGGTGACCCGAGTGCGAGAAAAGCACCCTGATCGTCGGTAACCTCGCATTTGAAAACGAGTTCAGCGCTATATCTGTGGGTGGGATGGGATGGATTCAATCGCCACAAATGACTATCATCGACGCTACTCACGCTGTAACCTGACCGTCAATCGCTAGATGCTTGACACTTTGACTGCCCAAGAGACCTTTAGGGATGACATTATCCAGCCGTTTTGGCGCCAGATTGCCGATAGAGAACTTCTCGAATTTCTCCGGTACGCCGTGCGTTCTGTTCGAATCGTCTGTACCATCTTCAGTTGCTCTGAATAAACGATAGAATCCTCCTCTCCGGATATATCCGACGTCTCCGATTTCCACTTCACCAACATCCTGGGGTTCAGGCACCCAAAGGGGATATCCCTGGCCACGTTTGCCAAGTTCGCGGGCGTACACGTTCTCTGGGGTATTATCGGTATTCATCGCAGATGAAATAGCAAGTGGAGAGCGGGCTTCTCTGGCGGTATGGAGGGTCTTTGACAGCCGTCCCACATCCTGCGTCCATCCTATTATACTCATTCCATGCAGTACCCATGTGACGAGGCTATTGGCAGTCGATGGATGGAGGCTGTAGTGACTTGCATGCGAGGCCTGGTCCGAGTAGAAGAAGCATCGCCACGGGTCAAGACCTGTGCTGATAGTCGCGCGATGCAAAGGTAGCTAACGACAAAACAAAAGGCTTGATCAACAGGTTTAAACCGCTTTAACACGCGAGAAGCATACCAGAAAGCTGCCATTATCGAACCTTAAAGCCACATGCAGAGAAGCCTATTTTGCAACCAAAAGCGAGATTCATCGTCAGTTTTGTGCGTATCTCTATCAGTTTTGGAAGTGGCAAGTTCGCGACGGAGGTGGGCCGCACCGTGACGGTGAAGAGAGTGACAGGGAAGCGCGTGACGTCATGCGTCTCTATCGAATGCCTACACTCTGGTACTTGACTAGTACTCGCCCAATATGAATGACACAGCAGTTCCAGGGTTGCCACGATGTGCTGACCGGTGAAGCCTCGAAGCTTCAAGTGATTCAGACTGCAGGGCAGCCTCCCCCACCACAAGGTGTGCTATGCTGCTAGTATCAGCATGTGGAGAGAAGTCACTGACAGATGTACACTGATACCGCGAAGCATGCCGCATTGCAAACACGCTGTACTCCTAGTACCCCTACCGTAGACCAGGAGCTGCGTATTAGTGTACTGGCGCAGGTCACCAGTGCCTCTTTGACGAATCGATGGCTCCAGAGATTCACAAAAAGCGCTAGTTGCCTGTATGTGTCTTGGAACCTCACTGTATTGCACAGGTTCACACCTCATGGCAAAGCTGTGAACGAGTAATATCGGAGCGACTAGAACGCTCATGGTATTAGCACCCTCGTACAGCTTCGAGCAGGGGGCGACGAAAAGGGTCAAGAATGAAATGCGGTGCTCATTCGGAAAGCGACTATGGTATCTTCCCTAACACCGCTACGGTCTTCTCGCTAAAAAGCAGTGGACATTTTCCTGTTATCGCTACAGTGCCATCGGAAGGACTCGTTTGCCTTCTCCGCTGGAGTCAAGTGAAGAATCAGCATCCGGCGCAAATTCTTGCTCTCGTGAGTTGGTATGGAAATACGTCACATGCACACTAGGTCATTTAGCTACACTGTCATCACCTGAGCACGTATGGAGGAACGTACTATGCCCTCGCCAGCACCATCGATATGCGCAACATCGGCCTGCTCTGCAGCGGTGCTATATACAAACCCCGTCTGATAACGATTGGTCTCCCCTAGCGATGACATCCCGACTAAAAGATGGTAAACAAGAACCATACTCTCGATGTCCGGGTTGGGAGAGCCGAACTCTTTTGCATGTGATACCTAGCGACCGACGAAGTCACCACCATAAATGCCTTCGTCGCAGCGTCCCTACCTACCTCGTATATATCAAAGAAATCTCCATCGCTAGCTAACATGGTTTCATTGTCGGAGTGTTGTGTATGTGTCATGTTATTGACTTGATAGTAGTTTTGAATCCCGATGTACCTGCAGATCACGATCCAGAATATAGTCTTCAGGTTCATGACGCTGATCATATGAGCGTAAGCATCCAGATAATGTCATGACTCGTGATATCTCACCTTCCTTGGAGCCGGGGAATCTTCCGCATCGTGATCGTCGCTCCCAGGTGATGGGCTTCGTGGTTCCGCCATGGCTTTCATGGATTTGATACAAAGGAATCGTTTCTTGAGCTTGTAGTAATGCAAAAACACGCATTGATCTTGTTTGCCGCGACGATGTCCATCATCGTTTTCGTTTTTCGCAGCAGCTTTGTTTATTCTGCGCTCCTCGTTCTTGCGCACGCCATCGCTCGGTGGTCCAGAATGGTATTCGAACGCCCAATTGGCATCACGAGCTTCATTAATCTGCCAGCAGCCGCCAGCTACCCCATCACCGTCAGCGCTGAAGGTGATCCGCGCATTCTTCGCATCTCCAGCGAAAGCAGCTAGACTCCACGCTGTGGTCTTCACCCAACCACTGACGAATATGATGTCGTCCTCGGATAAGTCGAGATCCAACCTTTTAACTGCGAAGGTATGCCAATTGCGCAGATGGGTGCGTATGTAAGTTTTGATCCTGCGGCCATGACGCAGCCGGTGTCGGATGGCAGGCGCACCAAGGACGAGGATAGCTCCATTATCCTCAGTGCACTCGAAAGTAGAGCCTGCTCCGGTGCTGCACACCGGATGGATTTAATTGTGTCTTTGAAAGTATCAAAACGCTGCTCACCCTTCGGTCTGGCCACCGACCGAGGATTTTGTGACGCCTGGACTAACTAAAGGACCCGTAGGGATCACATTTTCGACTCTTGTCACCGCTAGGTTTGCAATATCAAGTTTGATGAATCCGTCCGGCACGCCATACTTTGCGTTTATAGGATGCGTAGGATCTTCAGTCGCCCTGAACAAGCGATAGAAAGACCCGTCTGCGATGAACCCGATGTCTCCAATCTCTACTTCAAAGCGACTTGGTGGTTCAGGATTCCACAAGGGATATCCCTGACCAAGTTTGCTAAGTTCTAAGGTATACACAGATTGAGGGCTACCCATGGGGAACGAGAGAGAATGATGATGTGCGCAGACTTCAAGCGGATGCGGCACAGAGGATGTTCGGTCGTTGTAACACGTCCAGTATCCACCCTTACATACCCAATCTCGGCTTTTGCCAGGTTCCACACAAAGAGACCGCGACCGAGTATAAGGGCCATGCCACAGTGATGCCAAGGCCTGTACGTATTGCTCCGTGGGTGAAAGAAGAATCGATGAATAGCTTCAAATGAACAAGGCAGCTTCTCATTCAGATCTAGGTACTTACAACGTTTTGTACAGCACAAGGGACGCCGCATGAGGAGTAACCAGTGAGAACGCTTGACATGCGCTAGCCTTGAGCTTGAAGCTTGATCGCGCAGTCGCTGCCAAACACGAGCATATCGGCTACATGCTTAAGCACAGACAACGCCGACTCTCGTCAACGATCGGTTCCAAAGAGCAGTAGTATATGGCGATTCCTCTTTCGCAGTAATATAACGGTGACCAGGGCGATGACCCAGATGACGATAAGACAGCCGCAGGTGAGCGAAGGCTGCCATGGCGGTTGAAATCGGAGAAGTAGCGGACGATCATCTGCCCTCAAGAGTGAGGTTCACCATCATGCATCGTGATGACTGCGTGTTAGCTGTAGCCTTACAGGCGTTGGTAGCAGGCAGGTGTGACAGAGAACGGCGTGACGTCGCGCGGAGAACGGTAGGCGCTTGTAGGCGGGGCGCCAATATCACCTCGAGTTTCGCATATTCTTGATCTACTCTACAGTGTCAGTACTTCAGACTGACCGTACTCAGTACCAGCACCTCTGGTTCGAGCATACAGCTGCATACCGAACGACGTCTGGTCCGGAGAAGCCATTCCTAGGTGCGCTATCGCGTGGAATCAGGAAACTTTGAGATGTTGCTACCGCAGGACAGGCCGTATCACAAGAAGGCTATGCACCTATCCCTATCATAAAAATAAATGCTGCGCCCTAATATCCCCATCGCACAGCTTAGCTGTGTATGAGAACCAGGGTGCAGTCAATCATGCGCTGTCCTTACCGTAAAGCGCTAGCTGTCTATCTCAGAATCACACCGCATTGCACTGTTTTCTGCCTCATGCTATACTCGTGAATGAGCGCTTCACAAGATGATGAGAACGGACGTTATCAAGATCTTATGCTACACCTCTACTCCCGCACCTCAGCATGTCAAGCTCAGCAGAAGTCTACGCCGAGCAGCTACTCAGACGTTGCGAAGGCTACCCCCTCTGGGCTCCGGAAGTCAGCGAGCATGGAGAAGTACTGATTGGGGACGTGGGCGTCGTAGAGCGCGGCGCCTTCATTCGCATGTTCAACACAACTCGTGATGCAAACGACGAAGCGAACAGACATGGAGTACCCCCGGAACACATACCATTCAATCCCGCCGCGTGGTCGCACAGGCGTAGAGACAACGTTTTCGGAGGAGGATTTCTCTGCAGCGAATTTGTGAGAAAGGTCACAGTAGATGTCAGTGCGGGGGCTCAAGGTGCCAAGTTCGTATTCGTCTAATATTAAGAGGAGGCAATATTTTCTAACAAGGGATATCGCATACTTAATAGCCACAAAGTGAACTTAGGCTTGCAATTTGAATGTAACCACGAGCGTGGGGCCTGTTTGATTGTGGAAGATCAGGGCACGCGCGAAGAGGTTACCGGGCGACGGCTCAAGAACTATATTCGAGAGAACATGCCAAAGTGGTATCAGTGGGCAGTGGACAAGCTCGACGCTGATGTGAAGCTGGAGGACTTGATGTTCGTCAAAGGCTGGGTGAAAACAACACGATGGACCGTCGCAGTATTCACACAGCAGGCTAGGAACGTCCAATTTACCATCGATGCGGAGGTTGGTGCGGTTGTCGACGCAAAGGTGAAATTCGCAACGTCAGAATCCCAATCGCCACAGTATGATCAACGGACAGGCCCACCAGAACGAACGATCGGCAGAGGTGGGAGAAGGCAAAATCATGGTAAAAATAGACCACAGACAGCGTACCCCCAGGACCAATGTATCCTGCTGCATTATTTTAAATTGAAGAAACGCTGGATTGGTACAAAGATTATGGCAGCAGCCGAGCCCAAGGACCTACCCCCTTATTCAGATGATGATTTTGAGGTAGAGGAGGTACCATCCAAGGATGAAGTGAGTTGCACACAATGATCTGAATTATATGCGAAGTGAACTGGCGTTCTTCATTAGGCTCACGACCCGGTTGTGACCCTATTGGACTACATCCTAAAAGTGCGTCAAAATCATTTTGATACAAACCTGCTGTCCGGTTGACGGACAAATCAGCATTCAGATGCTGAGACGGCGATCGCTAGCGATCGTGATTTTATCGAACTATGTCGAGTAGGTGAACATACGCTTCTATTTATCCACGCTGAAGTTTGGTACCCACTGTAGCACCACAACCCGGGGGAATTTCCAATGCCGCATGACATTCCAGCTTTCTTGGAGCGCGTGCAGCCTCCACTCGAAGTTACGGAGGAAGGCCGTAAGTGTCATCGCGAGCGTTACTGGACAACGATGTAATGCAGAACGCTCACGCACGACTTAGTTGGCATGCTAGCTCTTGATGATTACATCACTGTGGAAAACCCACCAGCCCCTCAGGACGACGTGATGTCGACCGATCCTTCTGCAGATCAACTTGAGAACCAGAAAATGACATCCGACTCATCTAAAAGAGACCATGAGATCACCCATAATCCATATGCCCAATATGGGAAACCATACGATGAGATTGCCGTGAAGAAGATGAAGAGCGGCGACAACTTGCTCCCCATACCAAGTGATGCGCAACGCGGCGGCATTTCCTCCTTGGCTTATTCTCCCAACGGGCGCTACATCGCCGCCGGATTCTATGGTGCCTCTATCATGATTTGGGACGCCAACACCCTCGCCGAGAAGCACGAGCTCCTCGGGCACAGCGCTCCCGTCTCCTCTCTCGCCTTCTCGCCGAACAGCGGAGACCTTGTCTCCGGCTCCAGCGATTCCAATATCATCATATGGGATGTCGAGACTGGTCAGAGGCGCATGGTCCTCGAAGGCCACGGTGGTTTCGTCAACACTGTCGCCTACTCCCCTGATGGCTACACGATAGCATCCGCGTCTGCTGATTTCAACGTCCACTTGTGGGACGCAACTACTGGCCTCCTCCGAGCCACCACCGGCACTCATGATGCAATGGTGATGGCCATCGCATTCTCGCCGGATAGCGCATACGTTGCCTCTGCAGGTGCAGACTGCCGAGCAGTGATATGGAACGCCGCCAACGGTGCCCAGAGCGCAGTGCTCGATGGCCACGACGGCATGATCTACTCCATTACATTCTCGCCAGACGGCCGTCGCATTGTCACGAGCTCCGATGACGGGACTGTTCGCATCTGGAGTGCGCAATCGGGCGCCGAGTTCGTGACACTGCGCGAGCATACGGGGTCCGTATGGTCGGCTGTGTTCTCCCCGGATGGAAAGCAAGTGCTGTCGGTCGCGAATGACAGGACAGTGAAGATTTGTGATTCCTTCAGTGGCGAGCTGGTGAACAGCATTGATGGAAACGGGCTCGTGAACGCCACAACGTTCTCTGCCGACGGACAGCTCATTAGTGCAGGTACTGAGGATCTCAATGTGCGCGTGTGGAGCACGATCACAGGGAAACCGTTTGCGAATTTCTCGGGGCACACCGACCTCGTCACATACCTGCGCTTCTCTCCTGACAACACTCGGCTCATCTCTGCTTCCAACGATTGCACGGTGCGATTGTGGCAGTTGAGAGATGTGAACGTGGCGGTCGAGGGGGCTTGATATGTTCAATTTGTTGGTCGCAAAACGGTATACGCCCAGCACAGTTCTGACCATCGGTTTCGCTACAAACTCTGTGACGTTCATTATCATCCCTCTCATGTAGTGTGCATGAGATGCTTACCGTTAGTGATATTATGTTCAGATCAACTCTGTTACGGTACGGCTCTATATGAGAAGCTTACTGAACAGAAAGAGCATGAGACACGAGTCGCATTCTACCAAAAAGATGATTTCAGCCGTATCACGCTCCCGCTAGGAGAGTGTGTTTATCTTCTTCACTTTCGCTGTAGAGGAACCAGCATCATCTGGTACAAGTTTTCTGGTAGGCAGCTGCTTTTCCCAGTTTCGACGAACTTGTCAGCGTCAATGGGCAGCACGCAACGCTACTTGAGTTCACACGGCGGTGGCGGAGACGGCGTCGGCGTTCGCGACTCTGTGACGGACGCGTCATGTCACACGCACGTCACACCTGTGGCGGGCAAGCTGTGAATGCAGACTTCAAAGCCCACGAATCGGCGATCAAATAGTAGTGAACCCAGTGTTGGTATTAAGCTGAACAAAAGATGGTACCGACATACATGTCCAAAACTACAGCAGTTGCAGTGATATATCTTGCAGATGCAAAACGGAGCCTGACGGGAGTTCTGTACTCTGCGACACCATGATCGGTAAGTGTTATATACTCTGTAGGATCGCAGAGGTGAGTATGAGCATCGTACACGGGCTACATTGTAGAATCTGAACACAAGCGGAATTTAAAATGAAAGTCTCGAAGGTCCCGCAATTGCATTGACATATTGCGAAGAGTGTTCTTGCTGAGGCGGAGTTTGCATCCCATGATCTTCAGAAGGGATGTTCACTTCCGACGTGTCTGAATCCAACAAATACTCTATGTCTTCGAATAGATGGGGGAAGAAGATCGCCAGCATATCATCCGTTCTGGTCCAACAGATCATTCAATCGATAGCGGATCGAGTGAGAACTGCATTACGCACTTGAATACAAAATCTCCTTTCTGCACCTTTCTTGAAGGAGAATCCACAACAGTCTTATCACTTGCCACAGCGAATGGGGTCACATCCACTGTTCCTGCAGAGTTGTCTTTCGTGTAAAGAGATTGACCTCGCCTGGCCGCCAGATCAAGGATATTCTTCTCCATTGTGTCTTCCGCGTAGTAACAGTACACTGAGAGCAAATTCAGTGTACGCTTGGTACTGACTGATAATATGAGCTACCTTCTGTAGGCCTCGTCTGTCCCATCCGATCAATTCTAGCGATGGCTGTGGAATGCACTGTCAGCCTAGCCTTTGCGGACGTCAACAGTTGTCATGGGCTACCTTGCAACTCGAAGGCGTGATGGACCACGCTTTCAACCAGGAATACCCGTGATGCGCAGGTGATATTCAAACCAGCGTTTTCGCGTTCGCTGAGGAGATTATCAGCTCATAACGATATAAACAAGTTCCGCCACGCGCACCCATGTAAGAGGAGCACGGAGATAGTAGGGTCCGTCTTGAATCGCTTGGCGGCATTCTGCTTTCCTCTATGTTGATCAATCCTAAGGCTAGAGATACCTATCAACCCCCCCAAAAAAAGCTGATTAGCATATGGCACGACCCATGCGAAGCCGAAGGTGTTCACCATTGTGATTCAGGGCGTGTTGTATGACTAAAAGTATTATGTTGAACTCCAACATCCACAGAATGTGCCAAAAAACGTACTATGTAAAGAATCCGCCCATGCTGAGAAAATGATGCTCTTGGCCCCGGGATCTGTGAGTTGCAGGTAAAGGATATGACGGACCAGCGTTTGAACTTTGCTTCCGTAGCTTCCTAAGGATTCCATGGATTGTATGTCCTGGAATATCACTGGATCTATGACGTTGTAATTGATATGGCGTCGAGACTTCGGAGCAAGCTCGTTGTTTGCGATCGACGGCGGTGCTGCGTTCAAAGCTTGTTCTGCCGTTTTAGCCACGGAGAACCGTTGTAATTGGTCTGATTTAATAGGAGCTCTACAAACCGGACACGCCTTGGCTTCCTGCTTTGAAAGCCATTCCCTCAGGCATGCCTGTTTATTGTCAGGTCAAACAAAGGGCATTGATCTAGAGACATGTTGGATACCTCACAGAAAACGTGGGCGCTGTCACAGAGCTCAGCCTAATGTCAAGCAGAGAACGGGCCAAATTGCATACCACTGCGTGATGTATCCGCGAGAGAATTCACATCTGCATAATACGCAACAACGGTCATCCTCATCTACGGTCCCTTCCTCTTCGGACTTGGCTAAATGGTCCAGGTAGCGTTGACGAGCTCGACCGGTGTTAACTTTGGCTTCCAACTCTGCCTGTTCTGTGCGTGCATGTGCAGTGGCATCCAGAAGATCACCTTCCCAGGTCGCCTCAGCGACTGTATCCGAGATCTCCTGCAATTGACGGAAGTATCTGGAAGAAAGCTTAGGTGGCATGCAAAAGAATCCGCAGTTCTGTGACTGACGATATACGTTCATTGAATGCTTTCCGGAAGTGCGCCAGATCCGCTTGTAATTTATCCATCAACTTCCCTGTTCACATATTCAGCATACACTAGTTGCAAAGTATGTCATTTCAGCAGGAATACCTTGGTCCGCAAGCAGGGTACGTAGTCTCTTCACGCCGTCTCTGGCTATGATCTTCTCGAAATCGTCGTCCTTGGGTATCTTCGCTGCTACGTTGTTGAGGTCTATCATAACAGACTTGACTGCTCTGGAAGTGTCGAAGCCTTCTAGCAACGCCTTTCGCTCATCGGTCAATAATTTATGCAAAACGTCATGCTCGGGAAGGTGTTCCTCATCGTCAAGTTGCTCAAGTGGAATAATATCTTCCTCCAGCACAATCCCAGACGCCTTCATAGACGCCTTCGTATGCCGTATATGTGCCTCCCGCACATTATGAGCGTCCAGCAGCGTACGTTCTGCGGTAAGAAACTCCCGGCGGTCGGCTAGCAGAGCAGAATAGGCTTGCAAGTATGCCTCCGCTTCTCCTTGTGTCTCCAGGCTGCGGGCGTATTCCTGGCCATCGGCATCTTCTCCATCGTCACTTGAGCTGAGAGGTCGAGTCAGCAATGTTATCATCTGCGACCTCCACCTCCATAGAACCTTTGACTGTTCGTTGAGAAAATCTACCATCTCATTTGCTTCGGTCATCTATGGTATAGGACTCGTAAGAGCGTCTTGTGGAAGAGCGATAAATTTACCAGCTCATGCGACCTGATGCCGCCTTGGTCGCAATAGGGTGATTTGATACCGAGTTCATTTTCCTTCAGAGCTTTGACAGAAGCGTCATGACTCAGTTGCATCATCGCCCGTGAAGCCGCTTCTTCGGTACCTGTACGTGTGCAGTGTCACGGGAACAGCTCGTTTCAAGGATATCGCAAGTCAGTTAACTTACCCTTCAATAGCACTCGTCTGAGCTCCTCTGCCTGCGCGTAGGCCGCGCTTTCTTCATTTGCAAACGCTTCCCCAAGTATGTGGTAAACGTCGCCTTTGAGGAAAGAAATTTTGTGAAACGTAATGCGGCACTCCCTCAAACGGTTCTGCAACGCTCCCTTCTTCGCTCGATGTTCATCTCCGACAGGATTCCTGGGGATATCATCGTCGTCTGACTCGGCCTCGTCACTTGACTCGTCAAAGTTTGCGCTGGATGCAAGACCTTTGCCTTTATCGCGAGTGGCTGGGTCCGCCTGTTCCCTAGATTCCCTTAGCTTTGCAGTACTAGCTTTCAGCTCGTCACCCTTCTTGGCGTGTTCAGCAAGAGCTGCCTCGATATCACCGATGAGTGCTTGGGCGTCCTTCTCTGTAGCGAGTAGAACATCCAAGGCTCGCTGATGACGGTTCGGATCCACTTCATCGTGCTGCATCAATTGAGCGATGGTTGACATGATTTGAACCTGATGGGGATGTTCGGATATGAGTCAATTCAATTATTAGCTGACGCACCTTGTTGCGACGGTCCTCCATGAACGATCGCCAATTCTGATCTCTCATGTTCTGGATTGTAAGCACGTTTAGAAAAATTAATCTTTTTGCGCGGCAGTGACACACACCTCGAGGACTTCTCCAATGGACTTCAGCACCCCCGGTTTATGCAACTTGTCCGCATAGGCTTGCAGCTGACCGACTTGAGGATGGGTACATATCCCGCGCAGTCTGCGCAGCCACGACCGCAAGTCTGCAGTATCAACGTCCCAATCGGGCCTCACCGCGACACCACGCGCATCAAAACCGAGCTCGAGCAGCGCATTTTCGAAGGCTTGATCATATACCTGAGCATTACATGTCAGATCCACATATGACAAAAAAACGACTCGGGCAGATTCACATGTCGCTCAACGCGACCGAGCTCGATCGGTACAAGAAATCGTTGTTGTGAAGGAATAGTCAGCTCAGCCTTGACAGCGTTTTTCACCGTTCTGCAAAAAGACTTTAGCAAGCATACTGAAGTCGATTAAAGAAGGGCTTGCCGTATGGCATAACGTCGAAACAAGGCGGTAAATTCATTCGCAAACGCGGGCTTGAGAAGACGAGGCCAGATGCGAGGTGAGCTCAAGACATCATTCACGCGCAAGAATCTACAAAAATGCTATAAGATGAACGCAACGACGTAGAAAAAGATCTTCACGAACTTAAGGACATGTATCAAGTCTGAGACTTGAGTGCGAGCAGGTGTTCCTGACACCGCGAACGATGATAAGCGTGGAATGAGTGAAACCATCTCTCTGAAAGAATCCAACGTCGGAAATGTCCATCATCGAACTTTGAGCAGACGTACTCGGCTTTGCCTCCTCCGACCATCTGCACTTCGTCCATGACGACTCTATACCACTCACACATCACGAGTGGGCTACGTATCCTCTCGTTGTCGCCGTAATTAACAGTGGCACGGCGAGGGCGTGTCGGTGGCGGGCGCGCAACAGTCAAGTCATGTTGCAGTACAGCATATGTCGTGATACACACGTCGAATGTGTTCACATACGTGCACCAGTCCATGATACCGAAATCATCGCTATCGTCGCCTTCAGCAAGATCCATGTGTTCTTCAACTTCCGCTTCCATATCTCCGTCCTCGTTCTCCTGATCGGCTTTGCGCTTTGGTCCACGTCTTACGGGGCGCTTTCCACGCTTTCCTCGAACGGCCTGTTCTATACTAGCAGTTGGCTTTCCGCGTGACCTTCCACCACTTCTTCGCTCTAACTGTTGCCGTTTCTCTTGACGTGCCTTCATCGCGTCTGCCTCAGTGATGGGCATTCGGATTTTCGCCCATCCATCGTACATCAGCACCTTCAAGGTGGGTGCATGCCGCGCAAACTCGTCTACCCACTGGGGAGCGAGAGCCACAGGGGTGACAATGAGCGTGGTCTGGAGAGTACCGTCAGTACATACAGCACGTACGCCAGTGCAGGCAACCTCTGAGAGCAGCAGAGATGTAACGTAGGGCGAATGACTCACCTTAACCTCCTTGACATATACCTTCGAGTCGGCGTCCCACCGCTTGGTTCTAGGGGAACGACCGATAGCAGGATTGAGCATGACCAATCCGATACATTCCAGTGTCTTGCCTAAGCCAGGTTCCTCTGCCAGAATGCCTCCTAACGGTGAATTTTCTTCCTGCGGCTTCTCAGCGGAAACAATGCCTAGCAGCCGGTTGAAGTACCACTTTTGTCCAGTCTCAGGTTCCACTTCCTCCCAAAATAGAGGAAGTTCATCTGGAGATACAATTAATTGTGGCGCTGCTTCTCCAGCTCCGTTTAGCGTCTTGCCTTCGCGAGCGAGCATCCACGCCACGCTCCGACGCTGGAACGGCAGAAGAGTCGGCAGCAGCTCACGCGGTTGCATTAGTCCTTCTTCGACAGACGAGCTTAGACGGGGTGCAGGTCCAAGAATGGAGTATAGCAGTGGAATGTCAATGGCCTCACGGAAAGAGGTAGGCAGCGGAGAGCGGGAAGGGAACAACTCCAGCAATATCCGCCGCTGAGCTTCCTCGACATCATTTAATCGGCCTTTCGCCCGGGAAGTGATGGGCTCGAAAATGGCCGGGCAGAGGAGGGAAGCCTCGACCTCTACACGTAGACGAAATGGCAAAAGGGTTAACTTAGCATCGTTTATCTGCCGTGCGTGTGTCTCAAGGTAGAGCTGCGCGCGTATTTCAGCTCTATGGGAGGTTTGCAAGACTTCCAAAGCCGCCAACGGGTTCTTGAGGTCGGAGGAACGGATGTCGTGGTCTGCCATGTGGAAGCCGTCGCTCACGTGCGGAAGACCGAGCAGGAATTCATGGGAGGTATAAGCTTTGGTCTCTAGGAGACAAACGTAGAAGGTTTCTGTTCGATTCGTTCTTAAGAAAAGCGGTCCGAGATGAACAGTTCCATCGGGGAGGTGTTCTTGGAGCCAGATAGTAAGTCGGCGCTCTGCTTCGTTCCTTCTCCAAGGGAAAGCCATGTCAACGCCTGAATCATATTCAAGCTCGAAAACACGTTGGTACACGGGGATGCTTCTGGTTTCTAGATCCAGATTCCCACCCCCTTCGGCACGCTCACCGTCCATTGCTTGAACTGTCCGCGTCCGCTTGTGCGATTGCTCAGCGGAATCAGGAGAACTGGCCCTCCTCTTGCCCTTGTTTTGACCTTGCGATTCGACGAGGATGGACAACAGTTTCTCGGTGTCGAGCACCCGAGTGTGCGTCCGAAGGGACAAAACATGGTGGCTGGAAACGACATGCATGGTGATGGACAAGAACGCAGACGCGGTCGTGGGAGTATATACGCGACATAAAATCTCACGTGATCGACAATTAGCCGGTGGCCACGATAATTCCTCGAAGATGCAACTCTAGAAAGCATTGTGACTACAATCCGTTAATCATCGAGTACTCTGTTACATCGTAGTATTCTATGGGAGTTTGTTCGCCCCTTCATATGACCGCTTTGCCTTCCGCAAGTCTTTCGGTCGGAAATATCGTTGCTTTCGCAAGGTCTGACCAATTATCGCAGTCCACCCTTCAGAATTGACGGGAAGGAACTACAAGGTCGAGCAGCAATGTGACTTCAGGTGATTGACCACATATTATACATACAAGGAGAGTGACTTCCACGCATAGATCTCTCAGGTCATCCGACTGTCGTCTCTGCCTTGCCTTCTCTTGCCTCCTTCTCTCTCCGCTCTCTTCTTCGCTTGACGTCCCAATTGTAGACGCGTGCGGTATTAACCTCCATAACTGTGATCTGCTCCCGAAGGAATTCCAGGTCTTCCACCAGGCTCTCCAGGCCAGCTTCTGCCGCCTCCAGCTTTGATTTCAGTAGTGCGATAGCTGCTGGCAACTTGTAAGATAGCATGACGTTGGCCTGGGGTTATTATCTCAGTGTCTCTGCCAAAAAGTGGAATGTAATCAATGCGAGCGTACGCACCCCAAGCCATAGGTAAACAGTATCAGTATCCTCCAGTTCCGCTTCGGCGAAGAGCGTATCGTTCAGCTCGAACGTTGTACGCATAGGCTTCTTTTGCTCTCCGTGGACATCCCCACTCAGTTCATTGTCTTCATCCAGCTCCTCGTCTCCGTCACCCTTGCTAGCTCCTTCCTGCCGCGAACATGGGTCAATCCAAGTAATGCGCAACAAGCACAGACTTGTGGCATGCGAACTTACTCACTCGCCTCTCCTGCAAGTATTCAACCATCGAGAGTGTCTTCTTGATGTCAGGGATCTTTTCCTCGAGTCCTCGCCGCCGTTGTGCGAGATTATGGTCCATGTAACGGTATTTTCTGTGGCGCAAACATTGAGAAACCCGGACGTACCATACGTGCAGGCATACATACGCGAGAGCGGCTTGGAACTCCTTCAAAGCAGTCTCAACGTCAGGCGTAGAGCCCAAATATTCCTCTACATCCGCCTAACAAACGTCAATCGATGGAGAGGGCAGAATTGGTTACAAACTCACAATGAAAGGTGCATTGGGAATGCCACGAGCATTCTTTTTCTGCTTGGACGGTGCTCCAGAAGCCATTTTGGATTTGCTGGAAAATGCACGAGAATATCGCTAGCGGTAACTCGTACTCGATAGATGGATCAACAATCGCGGTGGTGGCACGGATTCACCAGGCGCTCGGCAAACGCCGAGCTGCATATATCTCCCTCATTTTTTGCTTTGCCGTCCTTTCTTTCTCCTCATCCCATGTCTCGTCTTATCGTAAAGAACTTGCCCGTATATCTCACGCAGCAGCGTCTGCGTTCACACTTTGAGGCTTCGGATGGACCAGGCAGCATGTTGACGGACGTGAAGCTGGTCCTTAATGCGGATGGCACTTCACGTCGATTCGGTTTCATTGGCTACAAGACACCTGCCGAGGCGGAACGCGCTAAGAAGTGGTTCAACAGGACCTTCATCGATTCGTCTCGTATCACAGTCGACATAGTAGACGTACGTGTCGCCTTCTCTCGGCGTTCGCTGTGCCGTGCTCATGCTTCGAGTAGGGTGTGAAGGATGCACCACCTTCACGGCCAAATAAGCGTCCCAGGCTTGGGCCCTCGCCTGCAGAGGCGCAGATCACTTCCGAGATAAGTGCCGATGCGAAGGGTTCGAAGAAGAAGACGAAAGTCTCGAAGGAGCAGTCGGACGCGAAAAAAAATGAGTTCAATGAGTTCATGCAAGTGATGCAGCCTCGCGTGAAGAAGGGCCCGTCATGGGCCAATGATGCTGTCGCCCCTGTGCCGGGGCCATCCACCTTGAAGTCGGCGAATGATGCTAAGGTTGATAGCGATTCTTCGCGTGCCACTAAGAACAAACAGTCCAAGAAACTCGCCGAAGTTGAGGACAACGAGAAGGCGCCATCACCGGAAGAGGCGGCTACATCTGAGGCGATATCAGACATGGATTGGTTCAAGCGGCATACCAAGTCCGCACTCGACGATCCAGAGCTTGAGCCGCAGAGGGTGTTTGAACAGTCCGATGACGAAGACGACCTTGCGGCATCGAGCGAGCATGATGAGGTACGTCGCATTCGTTTTTATTACTCATCGATCCTTGCTCACATTATTTCGCAGGACAAATCACCTCCTTCTGATCCCGTAAAAGACACGATACTACAAACATCGCGTCTGTTCTTGAGGAACCTCGCCTTCACTTGCACGGAAGATGAACTACGAGAGTTGTTTCAGAGTCACGGCGAAATCTCTCAGGTAAGCAGGTGTCCCGACCAGTCTCATCTATGCGCCATTGCTGCTTCGTGCATGCCTACGATCTCGCTTGGCGCGGTCACACGATGACAAACCTAAATAGGGACATCAGACTCGTTCGCGAGGATGCTGATCCCACGGGAAACATTGATAGTAGAATTTTATTCTGATCCTCCCTCTTCCTTGATCGTTCGAGTGAAACGTCATGCTCACGCTACTTGTTCGTCAGGTTCATATTCCGTTGGATCCAACGTCGAAGCAACCGAAGGGACTTGCCTATGTCACATTTGCGAAGCCTGCAGATGCCCTGGCAGCCTTTGAAGCGCTGGATAAGTCATCGTTCCAGGGTCGTTTGCTGCATATCCTTCCAGCGGTGGATCGTAAGGGGAAGGTGGATGATGATAGTAGTGGGAGAAGGAAAACCTTGAAGGATGAGAGGGAGGTGAAGCGGAAAGCGGGTGCAGGGCGTGAATTCAACTGGGCTATGTTGTACATGAATGTACGTACACTTTGTAGTAAAAATATATTTGCTTTCGATCTCTTCTGATCTCTACGGTGTTGTAGAGCGATGCTGTGGCGTCTTCCATCGCAGACCGTATGAATATAGCCAAGTCGGAGATCCTCAACTCAGAGTCGGACAATGCGGCGGTCAAGCTTGCGCTTGCAGAGACGCACATCATCAACGAGACGAAGGCGTTCCTCGAACAGCACGGCGTGGTGCTCTCGTCTCTGACTTTGACAAAGCAGAAGCGGTCAGACACGGTGATCCTGGTGAAGAACATCCCCTATGGCACGTCCGCAGATACGCTGCGCACGATGTTCGGCTCGCACGGCGAGCTACGACGCGTGCTTGTCCCTCCAGCAGGTACACTCGCCGTGGTCGAGTACGAACACGCGGTCGACGCCCGCACCGCCTTCCGTGCACTAGCCTACAGGAGATTAGGAACTTCCATCATGTATCTTGAGAGGGCGCCACTGGGGATGTTCGCAGGGCCACCCGTCGACGCGGCCGAGACGACTCGAGAACCGGTGGTGGCCACTGCAGTCGCGCCCGTCAAAGTGCCGATCAGCGCGGACGCGCTCGTCGAGACGGACGGCGCGACAGAGGCCGAGCCGCCGCTCTCCGCGGGGACGACGCTCTTCATCAAGAACCTCGCGTTCAGCACGACCACCGCTGGGCTCGTGCACGCGCTGCGGCACCTGCCCGGGTTCGCGTTCGCACGTGTGCAGGCAAAGGTGGACCCCGCGCGGCCGGGCGTGCGCCTGAGCATGGGCTATGGCTTCGTCGGCTTCCGCACGAAGGACGAGGCGAAGCGCGGGATGAAGAGCCTGGAGGGGTTCGTGTTGGATGGGCACGTGCTCACGGTGAAGTGGGCCGGACGCGGGGTGGACGAGGTGGAGGAGGAGGCGAAGGGAAAGCCCAAGTCGGCCAAGATGGTCGTGAAGAATGTGCCGTTCGAGGCGACCAAGAAGGATATTCAGGAGCTTTTTGGGTGCGTGATGGCCCGTGTTGTTGCCTGTGTGTGGTACCTCATCCAGTTTTTTTCTAGTGCGCACGCTCAGCTCAAGTCGGTCCGTCTACCGCGCAAGTTCGACCGTCGCACGCGCGGTTTCGCCTTCCTGGAGTTCATCTCGCCGCACGAGGCCGCGCGGGCGTATGCGACGCTACGGCACACGCATTTGCTCGGTCGGCATCTCGTTCTGGAGTGGGCGGAGGATGGCGCGGCCGATGTGGACGAGTTGCGGAAAAAAGCTGGTGTTGGGTTCGGTGGAGGGAAGGAGATGCCGGGACGGAAGCGGAAGCTGGACCTCGGGAACGGAGATGTAGAGGACGACCTATGAGCCCGTTTGTTTAGTACGCATTATACCAGGTGCATACATCCGGATCCTCATGATTTGCTGTGTCGGCAGGACGCACCCGTCAGACTAGGCCAGCAACTGAACATATACAGTCGAGCAGCATGAGGGACAGATTGAACGTTCGTCAGAAACACACATGTGGTAATATACAGGTTTGCTGTCCGAAGTCCTTTTTGACTTACACTTGTACAGTTTGATAGATTCCAGCACGCCTCAAGTCATCTTGGCCTCGCTTTCACACCTCGCCATCTCGTTTCTTTCTCAACTCCTCCAGGATGCCCTTCACACCTTCAAGGTCACCGACCGCAGCTCTACCGTCGTTCCAGTCGACCACGATCGGCCATTTCAGCGCATTCGGATTCTGCGCCGCAAGGCTAGAAACATCTTCGGCGCTCGTGGGGCCCGCCTCGACGCTCGGATGAGCTGAGAGCAGGCTCGCTGCGGACGGCACTTCAGCCGCCGGCGTTTTCGGTGTTGCGAGGTAAGAGACGATTATCCCCAACTGCTCTGGTGTGGGAGACTGATTCTCCACTACGTCGAGGTTGAACTTGAGCGGCAGCGCATTTGGCTTGGATGGAGGATACGGCGACGAAACCGCCGCTCGCAAGAGCTTGAGAGCAGCATTAGACGATGCAGAGGAGGGATTATGACTTCCAAGGCAGCCAGGAATAGTCAAAAACTAATACCATCGAGTAGGATATCTGCTCACAATATGGAAATCTGGGGCTGCATACGGAGCGTCCCTGTTAGCAAATGCCGCAAGATGTATACGCTGGACGTTACTAACAATGGTTCTTGTGAATGCGGAGAACATGGACATTGCGGTGTCTGGTGTTTTGGCAGAAAGTAAGCAGCAAACAATCGAACGCCTTCGGACTGAGTACTGAGTACTGAGTACTGAGTAGCCGCAACTCTGACCCTCTGACGTATCGCGCGCGTCTCCCGGCGCCGATCAGTCACGTGATTTACTCCTAAAAACGATTTATGCCCTGCGTGTCATAACTACGATACTGAGACAGTGGCAACGGTTGTGGGCGAAATGCGGCTCGATGGTAGAGAGGGCGCAGCCGACGCGCGCAATATTTCACTGCAAAGAAAGTATCGATCACAACGTTCTGAGAACGGTGTGAAAAATTGTGGTTCCCTTTGACTTGCCCCTTCTATGACATCCTATCATTTTTTTTTGAGTTGACATACGAAGCGAGGTGCAGATTAAAGGGTACCTTTGACGGTAATTAATTAATTCTAGTACCTTTTTTAACCATGAGAATCGATACTTTCTTGACACAACGCCAGAATACAATGCGCCGTCCTTTCAACTCCATTCTCACACCAAATTGCAGCAACTGCACAGATAAATTTTCATCTCGCTGACTCGCGGTTGCCAGATGTTCAACAACAACGACTTTGTACAAGGGCGAGCAGTGGCATGTACCATCCGCTGGAGGCTGTACACTGATATCGATTCTCTGATTGCTTTGTGGGTTCTACGCTGGCGCGGCCTGCTGTCGCCTTTCCTCGTGTTTTACGCACCAGTACAGGCTGTGCCTAACCTACCTTGTGCCGCCCGCAATCTATGCCTCTTATCCATCGACATGCGGCACCAGGCTGTACTTTTGTTCTGCACTCGTCAAATCGTCTTCCACTCGGCAGTCTCTGGCTATGCTCGAGCCTGATGCGATCTTCATTTCTGCTGAGGCGTAAACGTGGAAGTCTGCTGGCCGTTATGTATTGCTTCTGCAGAATTGACAGCGATGGCTGTGAATGAGGCACCTTGTTACGCTGTCTCACCTCGAAGCGGGTCCGGGGCTATTCTCACATTTTCATCCCGTACCAGCTGTCTTTGCTCAGACGAACCCCCCGCTCATCGTTCGTCTGCAAGCCATGGTCTCTGCAGAAGAAGTCTACGCCAAACAACTCTTCAAACTTGGCAAGGGTTATCCGTTGTGGATACCTGAGCCTCGCAGGAGAGAAGACAACGTCGTCATCGGAGATGTAGGCTTCCTCAATAGAGGAGGCTTTTTCCGCATATTCAATGCCATGGAGGACCACGAATCCGCATCCGACGTGCACGGTCTTCCATCTGGGCACACAGTGTTCCGACCTTCTCTCCCTGCACAACGATTCAAGGATGCTGTATCACAAGGTACTCTTCACAGTGAGAGCATGCATATGCTACCAGCTCAACGCGCGCCCGACGAGTGAGTGGCATACTATGTCAGAGTGGATTAAGAACTTAATCCTACCTAGGCACGGTGCACAGCTTGGGTTCGAATGCGAATGCACAGACGACCGGGGCGCACTGCTCGTCGTCGGGTCACCAGTGGTCCGTGAAGAGCTTCATCGAAGCGTTTCGATGGGCCCCTACATGAAGAAGAACATGAACAGATGGGTTTCCTTCGCGCAGACCCAGCTGGACCTGGATATCACTGAGGATGAAATCGTGTGGGTTTGCGGGCACGTCAAGACTTCGCAGTGGGCGGTTGGTGCATATCTGCATCAGTCCAAGGGCGCGAAGATCTCGTTCTCCGGAGACCTAGGATTGCCAGCGAGTGCTTCCTTCAGTGTGCACACATCGGAGACAGCCCTCCCATCGTACGAACATCGCAGCGGGCCAAAGAAGCGTCGGACTTTGACGGAAGTCGGCAAAAGCCAGCAGACGTCCCACGGGCCGACACGTAACACAGATCGTGAAGGGTCAAGACGACACAGATGCAAAGCGCCTGATGACAAGCCTGATCAGTGTATATTCATTCATTTCATCAAGATGAAGAGGAGACGTTTCCGGGGACGCAAGATCGTGGCCATGGCTGAGCCGCGAGACCCATCTTTTCACAAAGATGACGACATGATGCAGATAGCGCCGGCGCAAGAGGTGAGTTCCTCGAACGGCAGCCTCGTTCACACTTGACGTGGATGGCTGACTTTGGTCACCGTCTCCCCGTAGAACTGGAATCCCGTGGACGACCTGCTGGATTATGTACTCGACGTGTGTAGCATCAGGCTCTCCAGTTTCTTCCGTCTCGCTGATATGCACGACACAGTACTCAGATGCTGATATCGCCATAGCTAGCGATATAGACCTCATCGAAATATGCAAGGTACGTTGATCTCAGATAAACCGCAATGCATGTATAGCTTATGCCTCACACAGGCACATAACAAAGACAATCGAGAATATCTTATACCGGAAGACGTATGCGCTTTTCTCGGGAGCGTGCGACCTTTCATCGAGGTTACGGAGGACAAAAGTACGTAACATTTGCCAAATTGCATCGCATTTTCACTGACACGTCTATCAGTCGGAAGAATCGTCCTTGATGAAAGCCATGTCACTGCGTCAGACACAGAGGACATCATCAATGGACGAGGCGTTCTTCGAGGACATTCCGATAGTATCGATACTATCATCGGCGAGCGATGCGTAGACAGTGCAGGCTCAGAGGGTCGCGATGCTTATGAAGAGCAGCTGATTGGCTGCAAGACACCAGTAGTAGGATTGCAAGGACAGGTATCAAGCATCAGCAAACCAGCCTCCATGCCCACAGCACCACATCATGCTCGTGAGAATGCCTACAGTAGGGAAGACTCTCCGAAGGCTCTCGCAAGCCCCGACGCTCTCTGTTCCCTTCGAGGAAACGTCACGGACATCCCGCACGCATCTCGTCCACCTCTTCCCTTGACCCGAATCGCCCATAACGTTGGACGGCGCATCGTTCCGGCTGCTCGTTCTCCACTGCTGACTCTGTGCGCTTTGTCTCGTTAATTGCACTTCGTGCTTCCTCCAAGAGATGAGTGCGAGAGCGGGGATGTGCAGCAAAGGACGCAGGGGTGAAGAGAGGGGAGGGGAACTCGGAATAGCATTTGAGAGCTGGGAGGAACACGCTGCATTCAGTTTGAGCTCCCGCATTATACCGCTCCATCCCATGTTTGCCGACTGACGTAAATTCATAAAGGTTCTCTATTGTATGGCATAGTGGCGCCTGTTGTCCTGCGACAGCTAAAGGAAAGTAGACTTCGATGGGAAGGATGATGAAGTCCGTAATCCAATCGATGGACTGGGTTCCGTGGTCTCGAAAGAGGTATGGGTATGAGACCAGGGCTCTGCGTTTTTTTCGGCTCAAAGCGTACCGCTGAATCGACACAAGACTTGACCGGCACAATTTGTTCTGGGCCGAACGGTGAAGTACAGCGAAGAGCAAGCATCGCGCTGAAATTGGCTATTGACACTGGCCTGTCATATGATAACTGTACAGCCCTTCAGTGTGCTTTCTGAGGTTGTGATCATCCTCCCGAAAGGGACATACTGAATAGCAAAGAAACGTTGTGCTATACTAAGCCTCTGAGGAGCAGATTCTGGAGCAGTGATCATCCGACTGCGAACCAATCAGTTACACCAGCGCATTCTTCAGACTGCCGTGCCAAGGACAAGGTGCGAAGATACTTATGCATTAGACTCAGAACTCTCAAACCATGTAATCGTGCCAGTCTGCCCTGTGCCTTCGGATACTATTGGTTCTCCATTGCCAACACAAGCAAGTATTTGCATGAGCGATGGGCATGGGCTGCATTTCTGAACCTCCGAGTTTTTCATTTGGTGTAGCTTCTGCCATGGGCAATCACATTATGATGTGATACGACTTAGCCTGAGGGATGATTCACAGATGCAACATACGGTAACACTAGGATCAACTGAAGACGAGAATATGGCAAACAAATAAACACAATAATCTGCAGTAAAGAGAGATTATCCAAAGCCGAATCGTGATTTCTCACATGCAAAGTCAACTGACAAAATCCACCAAGTCCGTTACACGCATGCGAAGTAAGCGCAAGCAGCGTACCATGACAAAGAACAAAAGCAGAACGGAAGCGTATTAGTGAACTCCATCCCAGCTGGACCGCTTCCGCTTGTTTTCGTTCCCCTTGCGGAGTAGTAGGTCCTGCGGCGACACCGAGCTCTGCCCGCGATGATGCATTGGCATCATGCGGCCCATCGCGGGTGGTGTGCTATTCGCGCTCTGCGACATCATCGGGATGTGCTGCGTTAATGAAGGCGGGAGGCCTAGCCGGGACGCCGTCGCAAACGTTTCTGCCAAGTCGAGTGCTTGTCCTTGCCTCGCAATATCCGCGCTGGTCCTCGAGAACGCCGTGCTTGGTCCGGCATCCATGGCATCGGTAGTAGACACGACGTTGTTCGTATAATAGTGCAGATCGAGGAAGGGCAGGTCATACATATCTCCTTGCTGCCGCCAGCTGTCCATCGAGAATGGTATTGTGTTCTGATACGTCTGCTCATGAGGCGCCGCAGGGTTGTTCGGCTGCAGCGGAAGAAGATCCATAAGCGACAACGAACGCGGCGACGTGTGCAAGGGCCTTGACTTCAGCAATTGTGTCTGTGCTGCTCGAGGCACAGCCGTGCGATGTTCTGAGGGAGGAACAGACACTGAGCGATTATGCGCCGCTGTCATATTGGACTGCTGCCTGAATGGTCGCAAAGCCGTCGTCTGCGGCGTCCCTGGTGGCGTGAGTTCGTGCGTGAGGCCGACAATATCGTCCAATGTCTGCTGAGGAAAGCTGAATGCACTTATGTCCGCAAGGCTCATCGCGCAGTCCTGGTCATCCTTTGGAACGGCAGTGTCCACTGTCTCCTCCATAGGATCATGGATATCCACCTGGTCGTTAAGAGTGATCGACGTCAACTCAATCTCATCAATGCCAGGCAACGCGGGAGTATGCAACTGCATAGGATGCAACCCGCCCACAGACGGCGACTGCAAGCCCGACAGCCCCAGCCCTGCACTGCCAAACCCGAAGCCGGGCCCGTAATCAAATGGTTGAGGCGGCTGGTGTGTACGCGCACCAAAGATGAGATCTCCAGCGTAGTCCGAATGATGTGTAAACCCGCGGAAGCTGCTGGGCGTGAACATGTCCGGATCTGAGAATGTCGAGTGCGTGTCGCCGATGCCGACCTCCGACGCGAAGTCGTGCGCGAGTGATGGTGGGAAGAGGTCATATCGGTCGAGCACGCCATGGTTGAGGTGCGCGAAAGAGAATGGCGAAGAAGGCGCGGGTGAGGCGCCGCCCGCAAAAGAGGAACTACAACTCGACGCGGCAGATGGATCAAGACGCGGGTTGGGCGATAGCCAGTCTTGTGGACCCCAAGCCGACTTCCCAATCATAGTCGGAAAGCCATCATTCCGTCGATGGAATGGGGAATGGCTCAAAAAGTAGTCTGAAGAAATGTGCGATGAGGTAGGTGATGCGGCATTTGTGGTAGATGACCAGGTGCCAGGATTGGGCGGCCTATCGAGGCTGGACGACCATGTCTGCGATTGTGACGAGTCCGTCAACTCTGAAAGTGACGAACTAGGAATCACGTCAGGGTTTGAGAGAAATTCTCCCAAAGGGTCCGCAGTCTGTATGTCCATCTCATTCGCAAACGGCTCGGGCGTGGATGCGGATGCGGACGCTGACGCGGCCGTCACTTCTGCTGGCGGACTGGTCTGCTTGAGAATAGTCCTTGACAGCTCCTCTTCGCCGTCTGAGCTGTCCTCATCCTCCGAACACGTCGCGCTCTCGGGCACGCTCTTTGTTCCGCCCCGAAACAGCCCTTGTGTAGTGTGTCTACGCGTCCTCCGCACAGGGCCTGTCGCGCCGCTGGATGCGATCTGATCATCGGTGGCAGCCCTCACAGGCTGCGGCACCTGCCCCTTCTTCTTTGCGGAGTTCCGCGGCTTGTAACCCGCAGCCTGATACAAGTCTGGAAATGCGTTCCGGAAACGATCACGCAGGTCGGTGGAGCGTCGATTCTGCTCTTGGAATATGGGATCCTTCACGATCGTCGCCCACACGGTGCCGTGTTTGTCGTATCCCGCCTTTAGTGCTCGGTCTTCCTCCTCCGTGAACGGCCGCCGCTTCTTACTGCGCGTCTTTTCAAATATGGAGGTCCCGTCGGGGAGGGCAGAACGGATCTTGGAGGAGAGGTGAGTCTTGGCATTGGGGTAATGCTGCTTGTATGCATCGGGGAAGTAGGTACGGAACCTGGGAGATATGTCAGCACGTTCAGCAGTCCGCCTCCGTACGAGGATTCAATTGGCCCTCAAAAAGAATGGCCATGTTCGAAACCCGCAACAGGCCTTTGACGCGTGTAAGGTACTGAACGCATTCGCAGAGCACTGCACGAATGACGGATGCGAAGCGGGGGCGACCGGATGATTTGGTCATGAATTCATACCTGTCCTTGAGGTCCACGGGTGACCGATTGTCAAACTTGAACTCTGGGTCGTTGAGTATAGACTTCCAATTCCCTACGCCCCACTAGAGCGAAAGAGTTATGCGACATGATATATGCCACTGGTTGGGACGCCACACTCACCTTGTTACATCCATTCACCAACATCTGCGTCTCCTCCATTGTCCACTTCTTTCTTGGCTTCTTCTCGGGAGCGGGCAGAGGAGGCTCTTCGTCTTGGAGGCGGTCATTGTTGTCATCGATCCTGCGCATCTTGCCCCTCTTCTCGGGTGCGAGACTCGAAGATTCGCTGCTGGAAGAGTGCACGCCGAGTCCCGTGTCATCGCGGAACTTCCACGCACTGAACAGCCGTGGAGAGTCAGGCAAAGCGAGGGAAACACGCCGCTGTTTCAGGGGCGTAGATGAAGCCGATGAACACTCGGTTGATGATGGAAAGGGAGCAATGAAAGAGAATGTCGAGGTCGAGGGCAGCTTGCTGCTGAGCTCTGAAGAATTCTTCATCATGGTGTTGTCAGAGGTGTCGTCTCGGTAGCTCGTCACCGCGTCGTCACCAGTCAAATGGGATCTGACGAAGAGGTGCGCAGAGCTCAGATATTAAATGTAGGAGGTCGTCGGAATCGCAAATTGCAGACACGTTGAAGGCTACGTCGCCGTCTATGAAGATCTGGATGAGCGTGATGATCAAGGAAAAAGGTAAGGAGCACGCGTTGCGAGTACGGACGAGCTGCAGGTAAGTCGCTCGCTTGATGGTAGATGTCTACTCGGATTACTATATTTGGTGGCTATGCATATTAACGACCACCTTCCCGGCGTTGTTTCACGAAATTTCACAGCAGCTTTTATAAGTCCACAGGACATTATATGCGACCGTAATGCACACCAGTACATGCCCAACTCAGCATAATGTACAGTGACCTCGTCCCAGTAGCGGTGTCTTATTATATTTCTCGTGGGATGTCCGCTCGGAAGCCCAAACTTGCTTGCGCATGTGGAACTATGGGATACTCTTTCTGGAATCTGAACCAGACAATCCACAGGCAACATAAAGGTACACAACTTTGGACGATCAACCATTCACAAGGACCTCGGGCGCAATCCGCTCCTCCACCGTGTGCAGCTTCTCACCCCAGACAGCGAGTCTCTGCGCGAGCTGCCCGATTTGCTCCCTCGACAGTACGCGTGGCTGTACCCACGTAATGTGCGCCTTCTGGTCTACTTGGTCTAGTGATCCTCGGATCAGCTTCAGACTGAAACGAATTGCGTGTTAGCAATGGCTAATAAGAGTCTGGCCAGTAAGCAAGCATGGCCCACCTCAGCGCTTTCATCACCAAGTGCTCGACTTCATGTAAGGGTAATCGTGTCTCCTCAGCAATGGTCTGGAACGACATCGTCCGATCGTTAGCACCCCGTTTGAACACCGACTCGATGAGCGCCATGAGGCAGATCTTCTGTCGGAGGAACGAGTAATTCTCGTGCAGGATTGGCTGTGCACGGCCGCTCAGTTACTCGCACGTTCATTTGTTCGGCAGAGTCGCGCACGCACCTCCTGCGGGAACAGTGGCGCGAGGCCTTCGAATTTGCCAATGTTTCCCTCGTTGAAGGTGAAGAGTAGCTTCTTCAACCAGTCGTGCGGCGTGTTGTCCAGAGCATCCAGGATGGGGTGCATTAGCTGCACGTACATATGAGTCATTCATGACTCATATCATATGTTAAAAGTGATCTGCGCGACGTACTAGTTCACCAAAGTTGTAAATTGTGTCACCCAGGAACGCAGAAACGGCCAAGTCGTGCGCGCGTACAAGTCGCTCTTCCGCATTGAGATCCTTCGCGGGGTCGATACATGCAAGGTATAGCAATGAGTTGCGGTAATATGGAGCATACTCGGCCTTCGCCTGAGGATCGGTGAGCATTGCAGAAGACATGACGATTACTCTCACCTTGTAGTAGTCAGCTGCCACTCCATAATATGCCGCGTTCACAATGCTTTCCACACTTGGGAGCTCATCCAAGATCTTCCACGCGCCATCGATATCTGTCTTAGTGCCCTCCAAATCACCATAGAGTAGCTTTGCGTGTGCTAAGGTTGCAAGCAGAAGCACATGCGCTTCTGGGGATTTCTTGGTATCCACACGAGTGAGCAAGTCAGTTAGAAAAGCGAGATGGGTTGCGGGGTCTTATGATATGAAATGCTCAGCAAGATCGATGCCGATATGGGTAGCGTACGTACTGTCGATCTCCTTGGACACTTTTACACCCATTTCCACGAGCCTAAGCTGGTTGAGCTTCGACTCGAAGTCTCGCACAAACTTATCAAACACATCCACTCGATACGGTCGCGATAGTGGGTGGTCGAGGAACTCGAATAGCTTATTTGTCAATTGGTGCCATAGTCTGCGGGGAACGCGTCAGCCTGGGCATGGTTTCTTGAGCGGGGACTACGCACTTACGGCTGTACAGCACTTGAAATGACTCGAAGAATGGGTGAAGTTCTGCTGGCGTCGCTGAGACCCCTTGAGAGAGGTACTCGTCGACGTCGAGTTTTGGCCTTGAACTGGTCGCCATTCCGAGATGTAAGATGTCGATCGACAGGGGGTCAATCTGTGGTTCTACACGTCAGTGACTATAAAATGTGCTGCATCGGTGGTGGCAGCGCTGAGAAGTGACCTACGGCAGGGATACGCGTCGAATTATACGACAGAGGCGAATATGATGTAGTGCATGCGGAATTGCCACCCTTGAGGACGCGTAGGCGTTATTTGGCACTGTTTGTCAAAAGCCTTGAAATATAACAAGTGCAAACAATCTCCTTGTGGCGCAGCAACTTCAAGCTTCGTCGATCAGCCATTTGACCGACTCAGCGAGATGCTGATTTATCGAAATGTTGACTTGTTTTAGGCATAAATGCTTTATTTTCGTTTCTAAAGGATGGAAGCTGAGATGCGCGAACATCAGTACAAATTCTCCAATCGGCCCTGACGCAACACGTTTCGTGTTGGTTATGATCTGGCTTCTATAGGTGAGCAACTCTGTAAGCCAATGAAGTGCTGGAACTAGAAGGGTGAACTCCCATACACGCCTTCGTGCCTACTTATGACTCCCTTTTTGTTCTATTCATCTCTCATGAAAGCGATGTCTGTTGGAGCACGCAATCCCGCTACGTCCGTCGGCCGCGCGCCAGCTACCTTATATGGTAACGCTACTCAACGCCCAGCGCGGTGTGACCGGTAGTCTTGGGCTCGGGTGTTTTCGGACACATTTACTCTCGGACTTAGTTACCCGTGTGTTTCCGTGGTTATATACTTGCGCACGTCGCCCGCTCCCCTCAGACATTGTCTCCCTGCTAGGAGTACCAACGCTGAGGTGAGCTCCATACTGTGCACTCATAGTTACCCTGTATTCACACTCTCTTTAGCTTATACGCGTCTCCGACGCACTTAGGTGAATACACAGACGTTGTCTCCCTGCTAGGAGTACCAACGCTGAGCTTATACGCGTCTCCGACGCACTTAGTACTCCGTAGGTTCTCATAATGTCAAGCCGGCAAGCATCAAGTTGCATCATGGAGGCTCGATAAAGCCCCAGTTCGATATTGAGGGTTTTTATCGCCGCACGAAGGGAGCGGATGTGTCGCGGATTCTCTATATGCAATATCAATCAAACCAAAGCGACTGTCCCGCGGATACAATTATATACTCATGTTTCCCGTGTTTCAAGTTATTTTTTGACGGAGGGCGCGTAATTCTTCACAGCCCTTTGAGGACTGCGTTAGCACCTATAACCTTCAGATGAGGCCAGTAATTTCGTCGCAATGTGGACAATCGTCACATGCGGGAAGACGCCAACATTATCCCATATCCTGCCAAACTTGTCCACAAGTTGGTCCGAGGAGACTTTGCAGAGAACGATATGAGTGAGTAGCATTACATTTTACAACACGTCCGCTGTTATAACAACAATCAGCCCGTAGTACGTCTAAACCGGCGAGAATTCTTTACAGGCTCCGTGATCACGCATGCGAGTAATTACATGCTGTTGTTGGTCAAATTTCCGTTCATCTGAACCCCCGAGCCATATCGAATGCATTCCATGCGTTGATGCTTTATCAATCCCAGTCATCAGTACTCTTCTCTAGCCGACCTCTGCGGCAATGCACTCATGTATGAAACCGATCATGAAAGATGTTAGAAATGCGCTCATGTTCTGCAACCCTAAGTTAAGCACTTCACCGTGTGATGACTACGAGCTGCTACTGCATAACTGGCATGGATAGCACAATGGTACGTGCAAGTGGCATGGGGCGACCAGAAAATGCACCGCGTGTACTTAAACTAACGATAGAAATGACCACGAAATCTTTAACCGACTGTCTCTCCAAACTTCATCTGATGAACTGAATCACCTAGGACCTCACGCAAATGCCACTTTGACTCCTTGCGCGGCAATTTGAGCGAAGTATACCGTGTCGTTAGCCAGAATGACCAGCTCTCCTTTGTCCGCAAAGATCATGTTAGCTGAGACGCTTCCCAGGAAGAACTTGCCGATGAGCGTGCCATCATGGTCCCAAATCTGGTATGTATTGAATCGTATAAAGTCGTTTGCAGTCGAACGGGATTGCTCACATGCACACCATCTCCGCATGCCGAATAGATGTTACCCTTAGAATCCACCTGAATGCCATCAGGCACACCAGCGTCGATGTAAGCAAAGACTCGACGGTTGAGGAAAACCTGAGAGTGCGGGTCGACGTCGAAAGCATAGCTGTTGAATCGGACTCAGTGAGCTTGAACGGGAATTTGGATGAAAGGCGTTTGAACAACTTACATAGTAGCAGGGTCTGTCTGGTTCCTGCCCAAGAACCCAGCGGCCGCAGCTGTGTCTCCGCTGTAATTTATTCGCTCAATCAGGCAAAGCCAAGATCATAAAACATGCCCGCGTACATGTATGCAATATTGCCGTCGGGCGAAAATGCAAGTCCATTTGGCCGCTTGAGACCATCGGCTACAACTCGGATGTGTCCAGTGTCCGGGTCAAATCGGTAGCCTTGATTCGGTAGTAGCGGAGCTGGCTTAAAACCCTTCAAAAATCCGTATCTGTTGTAACCAAGATCAAGAGTAAGCCCTTCAGTCTCGACTACGCAACGTACGTGACGTCCGTGAAGAATATCTTCCCGCTCTTCGGGTGTATCTTGCCATCGTTCAACGAGTTGAATTGCCTCCCGAAGTAGTTGTCTACGAGGATCGTGACATTGTGCGGCGGAGCTGGGTTGACAATCGCAAGTGAAGCGGGTTTAACGCCACTTCCGGAATTGAAGAAGAGAAGGGATGATCTATATGGTCCAGTGCTACCCCATGTCATCTGGATGGACTCCGGCAGTTGAAGCTTCCATTCGTGCAACTATGAGCACTTCTATAATCGACAACAGATACCACAGTCTTCACCTGTGTCACCGTGACATTGATCGGAGCTGCAAGAGTGTCAGACGCAGCGATCGCACTTCGAACGTCCTTCATGCTGATTTTAGATATCTTGTTGTTTGCGCTACAGTCGAACAGGCCAGAAGGCCCACTGCAATTACTCGAGAAGAACACTTCATCCGTTTCCGGTAGCCATACTGGAGCCTCATGCGCGAAGACAGAGCCTGGGATCGAAGCGATGACGCGCAAGGAGGGAGAAGGTCCTACGACGTCAAGGAAAGCTGGATGAAAGACTTGGAAGAACGGCGCTCTGTTGTTTGTCGGATTGAAATGCTCCTGAAACGCGTCTTGACGAAAAGTGGCTCCATCGCCCATCACATTGTACAGAAGCGGATTCGCCAGCTGGATCCTCTGTCAACGTGCCTCGTCGACACTAAAAGGATCAAGCATGCTCACAACACATTGTGGAGGTAGATCCAGAGTATTGAGAGGCCGCTGATACACACCAGATGACCACAGCGAGGTGAAAAGACGGGTAATAGAGGCAATTTCGGGCAGCCGGAAGCTCAACATCCCGTTGCACAACCTCTCAATGATCTGTTCTCAGCCGGAAGTTCAGGCACACGAACCGAAGATCGTTGAAAAATTAACTCACCAAGATGACCCTCTTGGGCTTGAGGACTCGACAGTGCTCCTTTCAAGGCGACCATCCCACTTATCGTTGATATACATCCATCATGGTATCAAGAAGCCAGGAAGTTTCACTGAAAGTTCAATTCTGAATACGCTTGTGCAGCTGACGCGACGCGTGCCACAGACGGGGCGCCTTCGGGAAGCCGGTGGATGCAAACTCTAATAGCAAGGGTCAAGAAAGCGATATATACTGACACTTCATATACTCTCCAATCTAGATACTGGATACACCATTGTAGGTGTTGCAATACTAAACTAGCTCTAGAATACGAGAATTCTACAAGAAAGCTTACCTTAGCCCCAGGGTCATATGGACGCTTTGCCCCTCGGCTCGTACGGGAGTAGCAGCGCAAGCGCTCCGCTCCCCATGATCAGCGCTCCCGATACATAAACGGGGACCGCCGTGGAGAGGTTAGCATAAAGCGCAATGACCGGGGCCTGACGTGCGTCCTCAGCATCGTCGTTATGAAATGAGGCGAGAGAATGTACTGACGATAATGCCAAATATACGCGTGGCAGTGGCAGTTAGGCCGTTGCCGGTACCACGGTCCTTCGCAGGAAACACTTCTGGTGATATCGCGTACAACACCCCGTACATGATCTTGGAGATCCTGCATGAGCATGAATATGCTGCTTCTCCATATCTGTGGACTCACATTGCTCGCGAAGGCATACCTGCCAGCAACGCATAAGTTAGAGAAGCTTCACGACTGCGGTATGTGAAAGTACTAACCCACAGTTCCAGCCCAGAAGAGCGTAAGAATTCCGGGCCGTGGTACTCGCGAAGAGGAAGATACCAGTGAGCCCTGTCTTTCGCGGGGGGTCGTTGAACAATGACATCAAGTGCAAGCAAGGAAGTACTCGCCCGCAGAGGCCGCCAAGGTCCCCTTACGTCCCATGTACGGCTGTTCTACAGCCCAGCCAGCGACGAATGCACTGGGAACGCCGATGGCACCTAGGATGACTTCCTACGGTAGTATATTTTTGAGGTGTCCTGCGAACAACAAAGAAACGGCTGAACACACCTCGCGGTACGTGGTATAGTAGGAGCTGTCCCCGAACTTCGCCCCACGATGCGCGAGCCTAAAGACCTGGTCAATGCCTCAACGGTTGAGACACGTTAAAGTTTACGCACAAATATGGCAGGAAGCTGTTATACAGAGTAGACGCCAGGCCAATGATTCCTGGGGTTGTTTGTTAGTTGCGTCGACCGACACTGCCCACAGTAACATGCCATACCCCAGAGTGCAATCAGCAGACTGGTCGACCATGCCAGTCTCGCCGTCTTGAAGAGGTTCTTGATATGGTGGGTGCTCCAAGAGGAACCCTCGCTCAGCACCCTTCGGCCGGGAGCAGCACTCGCGGCATCCTTAGACGCCTTCTCCCCAGCGCTCGTTAATTGTTCTACGGTGAGACTGGACGTATGACCGTTGTACGTCGCGATCCTATGAACCACAGCGACAGCCTCAGCATCCCGCCCGCGGCCCACCAGGAATCGCGGGCTCTCCTCGAGATGGAACGCGAAGAAGCGCACGGCCCACAGAAGGAGCGTCAGGCCCCCCAGCGCGAACAGCAGATAGCGCCAGCCCATGTTGTCGGTGCGTGTGCACGTCGTGGAGTCCTCGGGGCAGGAGAAGTTGGATATGATTGGCCATGCAATCTGGGTCGGAAATTGTAAGTGCCGGACGACCAATTTACGCAAAACCTCATTCTCGACGCACCAGACAGGTGATCAACTGCCCGACGGACCACCATATGGACAGGACCGTCAATAGGTATTGATGGGTTCCTGGTACAAAATCTGGATCAAATGTCAGCGCATACACTGAGGACAACAACAAAACACAGTCACCTAAGAAAACGGCAGAATCCACGGGCATATTGCCACCCACCCCGAAACCAACCACAGCGAACAAAGACGCGAGAGTTACAAAATCGTTCGACCCTCCCGCAGCCAGACCGAATACGCCGGCGATCAGAAGAGTGAAGTTGAAAGGCCAGCTGAACATCCTGTCAGTTCTACCAGCTGGCTAATGAATCGGCAATTTGCACGAACCGCCGTCCCCAAATATCACAGCCCAGGGCCCAGATTACCGCGCCCACGAACAAGCCGATGTTCAGCGCCAAGGAAAGCCACGAGCTTTCAACGTCGAATTCGCTCACGACCGGATTCAGAATGAGACTCGCAACGAGCTGGTGTGACAGTCGAATGAGCACATCACTGAAGGTCGGTGGAGTTCATTATCGCAAGGGACTCACCGGCCAGACGCTGTCACTGCAGTCCACGTTATGACTGTTATTAATTAAATTGTATACGCATGTAGGCAGGCCGCAGCACGCACGAGAACCATCCGAAGCCAGCCACAATGAACAGATACCACTGGTACCTGCCCATTCCAATCTCGCGGATTGCAGAGCTCAGGACACGGGCTTTTGCCTGGTACACGGCATCGATAGACCCCTCCTCGAAGAGAATGTCTTCTTCGAAGGCCTGCTTTGAGAGGACTGGCGCCGCATCCTTGAGATTCACTGGCACAACCTTGACGTCTGCTGCCTCCTTCTCCAATTCCTGCAAAGAACGAGACATAGCAAAGCTGGACATTGCACGAAATGCCAAGTGCACCGTTGGATGAGGTGAAAGCTCGAGGAAAGCCGTCTGTGGGGGCGGATTCCTCGACATTCCACTCTAAACCCACGGCAAAACGGGACCATTTCTCGAAACGATTTGCGAGACGGAGCGCATGGACAGCAATGACAAGCTGCTCACATGCGCACTGCACCAAGCGCGATCTCACGGCGAAGCAGCAGGAATGTGCAATCTTTCTCACACGCATCCACACAACAGAGTTATGAATATGAAGTCTATTCAGTTGTCCAGTACACAAATTCTATCAACCTATATCGATGCGGTAGAAATACATTACATTCGAAGGGCATTAAAGCCGCCAATGGTATGAAGGGCGGCACGGAAGATGGTATCACGTTTCCGAGTCGATAAACGGCGAGAACTATCAATACAGTGGGGTGTGAGCGTGCATCCATACAAGATAACCGATAATGTCAACAAGGAATGAAAAGGTCATGCGTGTGCAGCGGACCCGCGTGAAAAGGGTTTTTCGTGGAGATAAGGAGCCCCGACGGTTAGACCATATCTGACACATCGTGCGAGACAGGTGCTGGTACGTCCGGTGTTGGGCGTGAGATGGCGACAATCTCCTGTGCGACCTCGGCATTGTTGGTAGAGACTGGTGACGCTGGCTCACCAGCCTCCTTCTCAGCGTCTAATGCCTTGACTGGGGATCCCATGTACGTGCTTGATACCGAGCTCTGCGACGGCGAGTACGCGATCTTGGACTCGTCGATGGGCGTATCGTCGTCGAAGGATACCGAAATAGACAATCTGTCAGAGAATGACGTGACGGACGCGTTCCTTGTCTTGCGCTGCACGAACGACGGGATAGTGACACGAGCAAGGCCACCCGACGGTAGTTTCGATCCACCCATTCTGCACGAGAATGTGAGGTCCGGCTAAACTAGCAATTAGAAGATGCACGTACCCGTACGAGGCATTCGAAGCAGAGCCAGTTCTCGTGAGGAAGCTTGTCGAAATACCAACACGCTTCACGACAGAGGTCAGCGCGGTCGAGTAGTGCTTCCGCGCCTCCTCCGCGCATCCGAAAAACAGGAAAAACAGCAGCGCGCATGCAATCGGATCCCAGATAGTGAACTGGATCGCCCGCCGAACGGCCGGGACGTTGTACCAGACAATCGTTGGGTACTGGTCCACGCGAGAGAAATCGTAATGTACGTTCGCTAGCCCTTCCCACTTGTAGATGGGCTGCACGGCCGAATTGACGACATTCCAGACACCGAGTGGGACTGTGCACACCATCTCGATACCGGCCAGTCCCATGAGACGGAGATAGCGGTTGTAGGTCAAATTGGAGTTCGAGGACATGAGCTCCTTGAACTGTCTGCGCCTCTTGTAGAAGGCGTACAGCGTCAAGCCTGAAGGATCAAGTCAGCTGAGCAACGCAGCGAAAGCAGCGTATATGACTTACTGCAGTACACCATGGAGATCAGACCAATCACAACAGGCCAGATCGTGTAGAGGAAGTAAGACAGGATCGTGTTCGGGAATTCATACATGCATCCGTAGCCCTCGAAGAGGTCGAAGCGATGACCCTGGTAGAACCAATCTGACGAACCGAATCAGTAAGGTTAGACGATGCAAGATGATAGCGCTGAGGATACTCACAGAGACCGACACACACAGCAGAAGGGACAAGACCAATCGCCAGATCGATCCAGATCATACGACGCTTGTCCGCGTGGGTGATGGAGACGGCAGACACGCTCGCAATCTTGTATAGACGACGATTGATGATCAGGGACGCAGTGCAAATCCCAATGCCGGAGGCAAGCCGCCACCTTGACGCTTCAAGCACGTCAGAGCGAACTCGCAAACTCGTTTCACGAAGATCAAACGTACTGATATCGCACCAAACTGGTACCCAGTTAATGACATTGTCTTTCCAGACCGTCATATTGATGAACTGGATGAGGCACTGCGAACCGGTCCAGAATATGTACATAACGCATCCAACATTCCAAGCTGTGATCGTGCATCAGAACCGAGCAGATCATCCCAAACGAACACTACGTACCTTCCAGATGCCAGTAAAGAGGTATGCTAACCAGAGCAAAAGCGATAAACGAGAACGCCGTGGCGATAGTCTGGTGAGTTTCCCAGGACACCATGATGCTTCAGATTAGACGAGCAGCGGACGGGTCGCAGGGGAAGCACCACAGCACTATCGTAGTCCTGGGGGAAACCTGGAGGGAGGGAGGAGAGGGCGATCGGGTCCATTTCACCCGACGGAGGAACTTAAGGCTTCCATGTTGTCTTCTTGCTCGTGCATGGATTAGGCCGGTAGCTTGTACTCGGATATCGACCTCAAATCAATGCATGGGACGGAAGCATTTTTCGCGTAAAGATAAAGTTCACGAAGCGATACGAATCCGTCGCCCAAAGGGGAAGTCCCTTTATATTCGATCCCAGAATGGCAGGAAAAGACGCTGGGAACCGAGTGGAGATTGGCTCAATGTCGTAAGGATGGAAAGCAGCACCGGAACCAAAATCCGCTAGACCCAAGGTGGTCAAGGAAATAGCCAAAGCCAGTCTTGAGCCCTCCAGGTACGCCGCGCAAGAACGGCGCGCTTAACAAACACGTGTTCTGCCTATGCCGATTGCGCAACCTTGCAGAGGTTGACATTCGTACCTCGGGGAGTACAAGGCAAGTTGCACGACTTTGCTAGCAACGCGTCAGCGAATGCAAAGATAGCGTTGTTTCAGGCAGCAAAGTGTCCGAATGCAGGTTGGACGGTACGACATGGCCGCAGCGACGTAAACCAGCGCAGTCAGATCAGAAAGATCAGACATCGCTTGCGTCAAAACATCGCAACCAGTTTTGCGCCAGAGCGAGCAGACCAGCGTCTCGTACTTTGTATATCGAGACGGAAAACAAAGTCGCCACGCAAGCCTGAGAAACACCACGAGCAAACTATTCAGTAGGGCGATGTCATTTGAGCTTGTGCTTTCGCCATTGTGCGCAAGGTTAGACAGCATCGCCAGCGAAACGAGAGAAATAAGACGAGCAGCGAGCAGGAAGCACCGCGACGGCGAGCGAACAACTCTATATGCATTCGGGCTACGCCGAAGCTTATTGTCACCCAGCAGACCGGCGCTCCTTGAAGTTGAAAGCTTCAACTTGTCTCTGCTACTAGCCCGAGTTCGTGTACGGCCTCTTCCAGAGCAAAGACACCAAAACTGAAATCACATACTTCTCGAGTGCACATGCCCGTACACAGTATCAATCATGTAGGGTACCCGGTTTTCCAATTGGCGAAGGTTCTCTTTGCTACTGAAACCTTGACCGTAAGTACGAGCATATGGACGATGTGTACTCTTTCTTCTATGTATGTCTCTATCGCTCATAGGCACTACGCGATAACTACGCAGCGTGTTTGAATAGATCAGGTTGAGCCATTCGAGAATGGCTAATCCCATTGGCATCGGTCTGCGCGAAGCTGAAGAGCGACTTCCTCAAAGATATCTTTAAGAGCGGTCGAAGTCAAAGCCTACATGCAAATCATATGGAAGAAGCTCCTGGAAATTATGATCACATCCTCCCGTACGTGCGTCATGGCTGTTTCGCGAGTTGTTGCTCACTAGGTGGAATTGAGAAGTTCGGTACCCAGGCGTGCCTGGAGCTAGCAAAGAAGGACCATGAGACCTTCATTGCCATTCCTGAGGTTGCGGAATGTTTGGCATCGTCCTCTGTGTTTCACGACCCTCTGAATGATTCCAAGGACATCGGAATTCCGCGAGGCCTACGTTTCACGTTACAGCTCGCATCATCCACCACCTTGAGCTCGCAACGACCTCCACAGTAATGCAGAGAAATCGTCGGCTGTGGCAGTGCCTTCCAGTCACAATACGTGCAGATGGTATAATGTCTTTGTATATCTTCATGGTTGCAGAGCTGACGAGTATGCACGCCTGCCCGCAGACCAACGAGTTGTCTAAAATCAGGTAGCGTGGCCAGGGAGTCGAGAAGCAGGCCGCCAGTGACGCCTGATCCACATCCTCACAGTGTCCCCCTCGGTAGCATCGTCCACGTCAATGCTTGGACACTTCTTTGCGCGATGAAAGATTATTGGCGTGCGGCCGACCTCCCGTCACAGACGGAGATGTTGCTATGAGCATTGGACCTGAACGGATGTGTGCAGCCTGATAGTGGCCTACAAGGAGGACGAAAGGGTCTCGGACTTCGTCGGGGCGCACTTCTTCGACTCGCAAGCCAACGGATCTTTCGCGCAGCTTGTTCTCGGTCTAGCCGATGTGTACGGATGGTGAGGTCGAAAAGAAACACACGACAAATCGTGTTCGGTGCCAACCGTTCATGGTCGAGAAATACGATGGCGCATTGTTGATGGCCTGTGTTCCATGGATATCCTGATTTCCTTCCGCAACTGCGTCGTTGGTAAGTTGTATCGTCCCGCGAAGGCATGTGTTGTTCGATGGGGCATCGCGACCTTCTCCTGAAGACGGTACATCTTCCACCGTGATGCCAGCGTCAAACTTGCTGACAGGCCTCCTGCATTGCCTCACCGAAAAGAGCAAACACATGCCCGAATTTGTGCAGGGCTTTCGACACGCAGACGGGCCAGTACAAGAGAAAGTAGTAGCAAGTAGTAGCTTGATCAACATCTGTCTGGCAACTGTTACAGAATCATCTGATGAGGCAGTGCGCGAGAATTTGCCAAACAATGCATCAGATTTTGTGGAGCAGGCTTCGCAGACACTGATACCTTCATCATTGTCGACTGAGTCCCGTGGCGTGATAAATCTCACCTGTTCTTAAAGAAGGAAATGGATCAGACGATGACGCAGGAGCAGAAAAGCGTTTGCGTATGCTCAAGAGGTTTAGGACGTGATGGGCGGAATACTACTCAGGTTAGGGAAGTAGTTTATGCTGCATTCCTCTTTCTGCGATACTCAGCTTGGAATACCAGCTCGCACTGGTCTGACACCGAGTTCAAGTACTCGTCCCTTAGCCTCACCCGGTGGTAGTGATCCCCGTTTCACAAGTGCGGCCCCATTTGCACATGTCATGCCTTTTTGGTATGCCTGGCTGAATCAATTGAACCATTAGAAATTTTATGTTTCTCAATCTCGACGAGATTGTTAGTTTCAAACTGATGAGAGTGCCTGCTCTCCAGACCTGTAAGGGATCACGCATTGTACAGTAGCATATGTAAATACCTATCCGTACTATAAGCTAGCCGGGGTTGTACAAAAAAGTTATTAAATCGTGAATACAAGGCCGTGTACTCGTAAAGATCTTCAAGGCGGTCTGTGCTTACGTGTTTCAGGAGCTTTTCCTTTGCTTGAGCTCGGACGAACCGACTCTGTGTCCTCGTTCAGCTCCTCAAAGTGCAGTACCAGGTCCTTGACGCTGCCAACGCTGCTGCGCCTACTGCTAGTTCTCGACAGTGGACGCCTTATGTCGAAAGAAAACGTGACAGCGTGCAGATCCAGTGTTGATTGCGATGGCGCGGACCGGGGAATGAGTGATGGTTTGCTTGAGGAAGCATGTTGGAGTTCCACCATCTCCTGTGCGTGAGGAAGCTTTGATGCTGGGTTAGGCACTGAAGTAGCACCCGGCGATCGAGGTCGTTCGAGGGGCTCTGGAGGTGGAGTAGGCAGGCTAGGTTGCGCAGAAGGTACGGATTTCGCTCTGGAAGGCTTCGCAGACGCGGGCAAATACGAGGAGAATAATCCCTTCGTGCGCACAGCGATTGAAGGCGATGGAACAGTGGCGCTTGTATTCCCGCTGTCTACGACGTCGCGTCGTGAAGGATTCAACGAATGCTTAGTCGTTGCAGACGGCGCGGTGCTGACAGCGGGGTTTGAGGCTCTGAATGTATGAACGCGTTGACTGGATGCGTCGCCTTGTTGGGCGGAGGCCAATAACTCCCAGGGGTACAAGGATGATGTATGCGCACCATTCCGGCCGTGAACATCACGAGATACACGGGGCACGTTGGGCGTTGGCGGTGCAATCTTGCCTGAACGCTGTTTCTTCTGCAAAGCTTGTGTTCGGCGCAGGAGACTCTCACTGGTGCGAGATGAGCAAGTTCTACAGTATGAACGACGAGTGTAACGCACCGACTGAATCCTAGTCGTCCCATCAAGGCTTCGACTCCGCCTTCCAGCTCGATGAATCTGTCGACGACATTCTCCAGGCGAATGTTGTCGGCGTCAGCGAGCGCGCTGCTGCCCAACTTCTGGCGAGAGCCGACGGCAAGCCGCTCATCCGTAAAGCAGGAATCCAGTCGCCTCCAGTCTTTTTTCGTCCAATCGAATGCGACGGATATGTCTTCAGGAGTTGCAGGAAATGTGCGACTAATGTCAAATCTCATGCCGGATCGTCCTGGTGTTCTCAACGAGCTGCGGGGCTGGAGAAGTCCGCTCATATCCTCGCCAGATATGTGGAGTGACCGTTCGGCTTCCTCGAGGAGCTCTGTAGGCGTCATAGAGATGCCCCCGGGAATAACGACCTGATCATCGCTCTCGCCACCAAGAGTGTGACGTCGATTCACCAAGGACATCTGCTTTCTGATGCCAGCCTCTGACAACGTCTTCCGAAGGGCGTTCTCAACAAACGAGCCAACGCCAATATGTGACGATCTGCGGTTCTTGGCTAAGACGCGCGGGAGGCAGTCATAGTTGTGCTTACATAGTACGATCCATTGCGGGTGAGCCACATTCACTGCACGAAAGGATAGCAACTGTACTCACCATCTTGAGAATAGCCGCTGCACGGGCTGCTGCCATCGGATCGCTGCTAGTGACTTCAACAACACCCTCCTCCAAAGGTTCCGTCTCATCGTCGCTGGAGATTTCCTCCTCGTCCTGTTGCATGGCAACAGGCCCTACGGTGGCCTCCTCCACGGCAGGTATCGCGGCTGTTTCATCTGATTGCAACTGAGTGAAATCGAAAGGACGAACCGTCCAAGGTTGCATCGTATTCGCGTGCTGTTCTACAAGACGTCGCGTGGCTTCCACCTCCACAGCAGGTGTCACAGCAGGCTCAATGGACTGCAGCTGACTAAGACCCAACGGTTGAACAGTCAAAGGCTGCGCCGTGCCCGCATGTTCGTGCACAATGATCAACTCCGGCTCTGGAGGGAAAATCTGGACGATCTGCTCCTCGCCTCGACGTCCGACCTCGTGCGATACGGTTTCTATCGAAGGGGCATCATTAATGCGCAGGCAACTTCCTGAGATCGTAAGAAAGTACCTTCTGCAGGTTTCACGTTGGCCGTCAATAACTCTGAGATAATCAAATGGCTGTCTATGTCGATAGATTTATGCCCCTCCAGGACTTGATGATCACTGCTATCGTCAACTACCGTCTCAACTCCCGCGGAATACCTGTCATGAGCTACATCGACGCGCGTTTCGAGACTAGACTGAGACGGCGATTCTCTGTTGAGGTCTCGTCCCGCGGGTTGATCTATTGGGATTGTTTCAGTAGGTTGATGTGGCGGAGGTGAAAGCGGGACATCCGGCTGCTCAAGCGACACATCAACAGCAACGGGGAATACATCATTGATAGCTTGATGCTCTTTCTGATAGGATTCTTGCTCCCTCTGCAGCGGCTCCTCTTCCTGCTGAGACTCATCGAACTCCGCCATAGCTGATTCGTGGCTTCGTTTCAGAATGGATTGCGGCCAGCGGCGCATCGACTCTGGAACAGGGCTAACAGGCCGTCCCCAAGCCTCCATCCGAGCCAGTTCGTCTTCATCCGGCGGGTCCTGTTTGATGGGCACGGTGAACGTCACGAATCTGCCCGTGTATTCTCCTTCCTCATCAAACATCCCATCGTCCGACCCACTGTCGCTCCAGACGTCAGGTGCCTCCACCACTACACTCTCAGGATTGAACGGCGAGGTGGGAAGCATGTCGTCGGTCATGCCGGTATTGTACGCGTTGACGGGATTGTCCAGGTTCAGACTGCCACTGTCATCTTCATTGGTATCGTGCGGCTGTGAAGACGATGCGGGCATAATTGGGGGAGTGTGTCGGGAGGAATTGACCGCGTGGGGAGGGCCGCGTTCTGAGTGATCACCGGATAATAAAAGAGGGTCAGGCGTTGGCGATGGGGGAGGTAGCGGCAATGTGAGGTCGACCTCCGGAGGTTCCTTCTTGATGGTCAAGACAAGCTTCTTTTGCGATGCTTTCGACTTCTGTGCAAATTTCTGCTTCTTTGAGGAGGCCATGGGAGGGGTATGATAGACCTCTCGAGGAGAAGTGAAGTGTTCGTGGGGTGGCTCATACGGAACAGTAGTGTTGGCTGGCCGTTGTCGATGATGTTCAGCGCCCCTATGAGGAGAACTGTTATCCAAAATCAGCTCGTTGAAGTGCTGAGCGCGATTCAATGCCTCCTCTATCAAGGGAGTGGAGGGCCGCCTCGACGAGGATGATTCACCAGCAGACGCATTGTTTTTAGAAGGGGGAGCAGGGTGGAGTGTGGATGAATCTTCCGAGACCAATGTGACTGCACGCTTGGCATGCTTCCGCGCTCTTGTGTTTGGAGTAGTGAGTATGGTAGAGCTTTCGCTCTTCGCCGGAGATGCGGCGGTGGACAACTGTCGTTTACGCTTAGACGTTGCAGATTTTGATGCTCTGGAGGACGATGATGGTTTGGCAAGAAGTGATGGCGTAAATGGATGTCGAGCGTCAGATTGTGTTATAGATTTCCCCGCAGAACGCTGCACATTGTCAATCTCACGCGGACCCTGCAACAACGGGATCGCTCACGGTACTCGGACCAGAACGCAGCATTTCCTCGGGAGGAGGACTCATGAGCATCCGAGAGGCGTCCGAGTCCTCTGGTGGTGCGAATAACCCAGAGCCATCGTTGTCAAGAATATTCTGTCGTGTATCGACCGAGAGCGGTTGCGATCTGGTGGAGATGTGCTTTCGCTTCGCAGCTCGCACGTTGTGTCTCGATGAACCAAGAAGAGCATCCAATGTGGACAGAGAATCTCGAGGCTTGCGAGCCATAGTCAATGAAACATTGTTCAGCAAGCAGCAGTGGATAAATCAAGAGAACAGCGCTTGGGAAACCACAAACGCTCGAACCTGGGATTAACATGACGCGTGACGATCTCCACGTGAGTGTGACGCACCGTAACACCCTCCAAAGCCACCGTCGCGCAACGCGTGATTTCAGATGATTTCACTCTGTTCTCGACTCCCATGTGCTGCTCGCTGCACCCGTAGCCATCTACGTCGCCCCAATCGATACCCTCTTTGCAGCGATGTCTGACACTGAGCTAACACTTCCAGAAGCAGGGCCATCACGACGCGAGACGGCTTCTCCGATCGCACAAGTCTCGGATCAGGGCAATGCGGGCGGTGGAACCAATGAAGAAGGTAGCACGGACGATGGTGCGGAAAGCGAGTACGAAAGCGATATTGGGATTATACCACCTGGTCACTTCAGTGCCGGTTTCAAAGGCAAGGGCGTTGCGCCGCAACCGTCGCGCCCGAAACCACCCACTGTGCGCATCGAGACGCGCCCGCCTGGTCGCACGACCTCCTCTTGGGCAGATCTCGATCAGTCCATCATTCTTGCCTGCGTTTCGCCTATAGGCAACTGGCTCACCGGCGGCGACTACGTGAAAAGTCTCATTCTCTTCGCCCTGCTCATATACTACCTTCACCAGGTGATCGAAGGTGAGTATCTCGAGGATCCGTTACATTCGTACTCGTTTTCCGTCCGACGACTTAGTATAACTCTGTGCCCTGGCCCTTCATCTTGAGAGCGCGCGCTGGGACGGTCGCTGAGAGTGCATCGCCTGGTCGCGTGCTTGGAGAGACTTGCCTCGTTGCGGAGCTTTCGCAAGATCACTTATGCGTGACCACACCTACGAGGACTGGCGGCTTGGAGTGACGTCTCGGCTGTCATGTTCGGCTCCTTGGCTCCCCTCCCCACCCCTCCTATTTACCATTTGCCTTGAATGGGTACGAAGGCTAACCAGAAGTGTGCTGTTGCCCGTTGTCTCGGGAATGTCACCCGTGGTGTCGGATGTGAATTGATGAAAGTATGACGGTTACATACTCCCCTGTTCCTCACACAGACCAGAAAGTGTGTTCTTGTTCAAGGGGAGGATGTTAGGCGCAGCCTTTCACAATGTTTCTGGTTTCGAAGCTCTCGGTGATGGGCTTGCTGCTTGAGATGCCTTAGTTTCATCTGGTCACTTTTTTCCGGAATTATTCTTCGCATGCATAGCAGTAGATTACAGGGAATATGGCCTTGAACGTCCAGAATTTGTGCCCTCAAAATAGTGGTATTGGATTGATTCTAATCTCGGTTGTCTGCAGTGCCTTGGAAATTATATCAGGAATCTCTCCCTCGGAAGCCAGCGCACCCACGCAGGACTCATGCAGAAGACTCTAACCCCATCATCAAGTTGGCTGAGACCGAGCTCCACCAACAAGAAATCTTCCTGCTAGGTTTCACGGTCTTCTCTCCGTTTCTTGCTGCAATACTTCTTTATTTCGTCCTGGACGCTCTCGGCGGCGCCGATTCGCTCTCATGGTTCAGCACAACACTCTTCGTGCTCGCAGCGGGCATCCGACCATGGAATCATCTTATCTCACGGCTCCAATCGCGCACGCAGGCGCTACACGATGCCGTGCACTACCCGCCCGACGCGGCGGCCGAGGCGGAGCAGGCGGCGCGGGTCACGGCTCGGCTAGATGCCATGGCGGCTAAATTGCAGGAGCTGCAAACCCATGTAGTTCACGCGGAGATTTTGCTGGAGCCGATGGAGAGCCTGCGCGAGGCGGTGGACCAGTTGAAACTCGAAGCAAAGCAGAGCGAGCGGAAGGCGAAGGTAGCGCGGGAGGCGTTCGAAAAGCGCGTCACAACTCTCGCGACAGGTCTGCTACATCTTGAACAGTCACGCAAGATCGATACGGACACGATCATGGCACTGCGCGCTCAAGAGGCCCCGCTGTACGTACTGGCATACCAGCGCGCGTGCAGATATATTGGCCCCCTTCTGGCGGGCTTACGTCGCTTGCCAAAGATGATGTGGATGCCGCGCTCGCAAGAGCCGGGACATGGTAAGATGGGAAATGGCACTGCCGATGGCGCTGTACATCACAACGGCATCCTGAAGAACGGGAATGGTCACATGAGCGGCATTCCCCCACGCACATCTGCCCGCGAGAACGGCTCGCATCCTGGCTCCCCCCGCCTTCCTACCATCCCTGAAGCCGTGCACTCAGACAGCGACGCAGATTCGGAGGGGACATTCGTGTCGGAGAAGGAAAAGGAGAGAGAAAGTCCGGTAATGTCTCCCGTTGCGCGCCCGCGCGAGAAGGCTCGGCGAATGAGAAGCAGAAGCCGGAGTGGCAGCAAGAAAATGGTGCCCCCTCGGAGACACGCTCCGCTGTCATTTGGCCAGTGGGCTCTCCAGTGCGCGCAAAGCGTGGTGCTGTGGCCATACCTCGTGAGCGTCAAGATCTTGAAACTCATGTTGCCGCCCCCCCTGCAGCGAATTTTGCCTCGCGCTGTTTGAATGGAAGGAATCGGGATAGGTTCATATAAGGATACCTCGCATTGTTTCGGTGAATGATTGTGTATGTCACGGATTGGAGAGGGACTCTTAATTCTTTGTTTTGTGATTCCCCCAGTCGAATACGTTACCCCCCTCTGTATATTGATCGCGTACTGGTGTCCGCCTTGCCTCTTCGTTTGTTCCGCATGTGGATTGTCTCCTTTCAACTTTACTATCGCTGTACGTGCACTCGGAAATATCCTTCATACGTGATGAACGAGCTTACCGCTTGAATGGAGCCACCTTTCGATGGTTAACGACCGCATCGTTGGCCTCATGCATTGGCTATGCGCCTGCGTAGGTTGCTTCACATGAGGATAAAATGCAAAATTTCTGTGGGAAGTCGAGTGCGTAGTGACAGATCTGCCGCACCGATTACGCACATATGGATATTCTCCAGCTACTATACCGTGCTTTTCGATGCATAGATGTCATCACAGCAGAAGAGCATCGTTATTTCTTCTGTTCCTTATGCCACGTCCCCCCCTTCCGTGTGAACATCAAGTTATGGCATCGCGTATCAGAACGACGCGCAATGCGATTGAATCAGCCTCTTGATCGCCTGGCTATTGTTTCGCCACACGGCAATCGTTTTGCGGCGCCGCATGTGAGGGCAGCATACTTTTGCCATACCGTATAAGTCGTTACGGGCGACACGCACTGGTGAGAAAGACCGCAGCCAATAGCGCTAGCCACCAATACGGAGTTTTCTAATTCAGACCAACGTCATAGGACGGCTGAGCGTGCTGCGAGAAAACTATGTCGCTTCTTTGACTCTACAGCCGTTGAATGCGTGGACATTCTCTCGTGGCCGAGGCGAATCCGACTGCATGATATCGATTGCTTTTGCAGTTCCTGACTCGGAGTCTCTAGCACCTGCCGCTGGTTTTTACCTACAACTGTAAAAACACGACTCACCGGTAATCTCGGGCTACGCGACGAGTTGTCGTGGCGCTGGCCTCGTTGAAGACACTTCGTCATGCATGGTCCGTTATCAACCGTCGGCCCTTTTGTATCTTTAATATGCTTGCTAGATGACTCGAAGCCTGTATGGCCAAGAATCGAGTGCTGCAGCCTGCCGTAGGGCCGATAGTGCAAACATAAGAAGGTCACGATTTTATGGGCAATGGTCATTTGCACGGTCCAGGCACGCATTCAGATGAAGTCCTGCAGGAAGGGAGGTCAATCAATTCCACTCAACTCAACAATCGCGGTCACGTGCACGTGTCAAGACAATAAGACGGTACGAGATCTGACTCTTGCCTGCACACCGCTCTAATCTTGCGCATCGTACAGAACCCGTGCCTTTTGTCTTCGCTGAACTCACGCTAGAAGAAAGGCGGCCGGGGGATTGCGGATGATGAAGTGGACGCACGCCGCGCCGCGTGGGCCACTTTGTGCAAGTGAGCGATTACATTGTCAGTTCAACGACAGGGCCGTCCAAAATGACGGACGTGGTGAGAATGATTGGCTTTTGCCGCAGATGTAAAAAGATGCGTATTTCGATGTCTCCTGCACCACGGACGCAGCCCGATGGATCTATCGAAATGCTCCCAAGAAGTCGTCGAGTGAAGAGAACAATAAGAGGAACACATGCATTGGCGCTCATCGGGTGTCGGATTGCGCATTGCACAACTTCGATTGTCAACAGGTCGTGGCTAGCGGGCGATTGCGATCTATGACAGCTAATTGTTTGCGTCCTGAACCGATGCATAAAAAGCTGTGGACGAGGGGCGTCCCGCAGCTGTGAGCTTCTCGCCAACGCCTCATCGCCGGTTGCTTCTGCACGCTCATCCTCCTCGTTTGCAATGGACGCCTTCTTCACCATCGCGACGCCCGTCCCCGCGGAGGAGACCGAGGGCTGCCAGATCCCAAACAATTATGACACGTCAAGTGGGACAGTGTCCGGTTCATGTGTTATCGCCTGAGTGGCTTCGCTCGAAGGTACGCATTCGGCTCACATCGAATCAGGAACCATCGCTGACGGCACTCACCCCTGACAGGCTTCTCGTCTTCGTACACACTATTCACGAACTTTGCATGACCGAACGATGACTTCGTATTCGCATTCTTCGATCTGGCGCGCCATCGCGCACGGCATTTGCCCTTATCATTTTTATGCCATTTGTTATTCGTTCACGATTCGCCGTAACTTATCAACTTCGACATGCCGGGGATTTCGGGAGGTGGTGGTCTTGAGCTGTGGGGATATAAAAGGAGTTTTGTCCTGGAAAGAGTCCAGTTGACGTACTAGAGGTTATAGCGCACGCAATCTTGCTCAGCGTAACGATTATAAATCAATTTAACCCAATAGTTTGCACATCACTCGAGTGAGCACTCACCGTCCGTACCACACCAGTACATCTCGAGGTGAACGTCTTCTTTCTTCCAGATAAAACCAGCTCGACGTCCATGTAGTCAATTGTGTAGTCGCAAGTATGAACATGCAGTCACACTAGGGGTCCTGTAGAGGGGGAAGGAAGGTGTATGATACAGCAATGGCAACAGAGCTACAGTGGGAGTAAGTAGTACGACTTGGCTACAGCATGAGAACGAATGAGTTTGAGAATTCTGAACGCGGTCAGGCGTTCAAATGGTATATGGGTGTCGGAACGAAAGAGCGGGACGCCAGACCTCACTGTACATGTCGAAGTCTCAGCCTGTGATTTACTTATAAGGTTTCCTGCACCACAGTCATATAGATCGCTCCTTCCTCCTGTTGTCTAGAACGCTGCTGATCTCGCGAGCTGAGACTCAGGTTCCTCGTGATCAACCTGCCCATGCTGCGTGTCCTGCGGGAATGCTTCGGAATAGGAACACTGAGGCCCCGCTCGTGTCCTTGTCGCGCTTCGTGCTCGGAGATCACAGCATCCGAGAAGGGTGCGAAGGACGGTAGCGTAGGTGAGTCGTGCAAGACCTGTGCTGGGTCCAATGCGTGCGCTGACGTATTGATCGTCGAGGATACAACGCTGGTGGACAGCGATGCAGTACTTGCAGGGCGAGAGATGTGGCGATCAGGGATCAGAGTCGGTGGGAGAACCGTAACGGACGGCAGAGGCGAGGTAGGGATGCCAGAAGGAGGACGCGGCCACTGTTGGGACAAAATGGAATGTCTGTTCGAGGCCGCATGTGCGCGTTGAGGAGGCTCAGGCTCGCCATACCAGACGACTGGGACGTTCGTAGGCAGGGAAGACGTGCTCTGTGCCGGAACAGCAAATGGATGCGATACGTAACCGAAGGCTTCGCGCGCGACGGGCGACCCTAAGTACGTCCGGGCCGACCGAGCGAACAGATCATCCACCTCGTCGGAGGCTGTCGAAACAGGTGGCGATACCGAAGCACCTGCTGACAGCGTGACAGATATTGGAAATGGTCTGGACTTCCGTGGCTTCTGCGTCACATTGCTATGGTGCGCTTTCTCTGGATCTGCCAGGTCGGATGGTTCTGGCGACTTCAAGAGCACGTGTGGTCGCCTATCCATCGGCAGTTCGAACGACTGCCGACGCCAGTCGCGGCGGAGAGCGATCGTGGAGAACTGCTGAGCAACAGCGCGGTAACCACTGAGTGTATCCTGCCGTGCACTGGATATAAAGCCAGCAAGCGAGACGACGATGAGAACGAAGGTTGAGGCTGGTATAAGCCACCACGTGAACTCGGTGTCGACGAGGTCAGTGTCGTGAATGTCTGCAATTACGTTCACTGTGGTAAAGCGCGCGTGGACTTGATCCCAGGACGTCCATCGAAGCAAGCCTGATGGGGATACGATGGCAGCATAAATCGAAAACGCAGTCGAAGACAAGACCAGCGAGACGATTGGAAATGAGATGAACAGTGGGCGAAGGAAGATGTATGTGCCAGCGGAATTGCGATAAGCGATGTCCAAAACTGCCCGGCTGTTGTGAGAGCGAAGATAGACGATGATACATGAAACGAGGACGGCTATGATACAGAGGATGAGCGGTGGAAGCCAGACAAGGAATATTGCGGGAATGGATCTATAAACAGATGCCGTGCAGCCGAAGCCTTCGTAGATGTCGAAGCGATGATCCTGCACGATTATGTCTGCGGTGCCCTATCAACGATCCATAGCGCTGAGGACAAAGTGGAGTACGCACGAAGCGCCATGTAGAACATGGGCAATAGAAAGCATAGTATACATTCGAATGAGAGAACGCGGCGTCGCTCGGAGGCGTATACAGCCGGAAATATACGCCATGAGCGAAGGGTAAGACATAGACATATTGCCGGTATAGCAATTCGCGAACCGAATAGTAGCTTGGTTACTGAGCCAGAATGAATTATCATACTTTCGATGCACGCCAAACGGGGTTCACATACCTATGTCGCACCAAATAGTGAGCTTGACCTCACTGTTTGCTATCCACAATGAGCCATCGATGCCTTGAAAGACGTTGCTCATAAAGAGCCAAGCAATTAACGACAGTATAGGTATACTCCGTGATTCCCAGTGAGCGGGCGTCACCAAAATCACAAGCACGGCGCAAACGAAGGACACAGCTGGCAAACCAGGATTCATGACAGTGAGAAGGTATCTGCGAGGGGTATGTTCGAGAGAAAAGAGGAGGAGGAGGAACCTGCTGTTCCTGGGCGCAACTTAAGGCGCGGAGCAGTCATCGTCAGAGGACGGAAAAACTGAGGCTGCAAGGCGATAGAATCATCATCGGAAGTTCTCGATATCGTCCCAGTTCCATGAGGGACGGTGTCAGGTCCAGCAGAAAACAACAGTTGCCCGGGAGCGCGAACAAGAAGTTCGCCCACTGTCGTCACGGAGGCCCGCTATGCCGAGCGCATGCACTCGGTTAACGGGCATGAGCGCTGAGCACTCATTACGGCGCCTGATGGACTTTCTGGTGGAATTGACAACAAATAGAGACCCATACACAGAAAGCTGAATGATCCCGAAGATAGCAGAGAATAACGAGGTGGCTAAATATGGCAACCCTAGGAGAACGTTCATCTTTCGTCAGATGGCATATACTTTGTCAAAACGCGACGCGGTATCGAGCACGCGCATGTGTCATGAACGTGGCGAAAGAAAAAAGAGAATAGACTTTGCGGCATGATGACACCGCAGACATGATGGCATTTGCAACTATGGCATATGCCGAGTTAGTATTTTGCCTTTGTAAGTGATATTTGCAATGGTGTCATTTTGTATTTCAGATTATGAAAATGCAACAGGTTATCCAGCAATCACATATTAGTTACAAACTTTTTGAGATATGCAAGCATCATGCATATTTAAACAATATGTCAAAATTTAGCGCTGTGAAATTTGAGTCACAAATTATATATATTAGATGACATTCAAGTCCAACAGATGAAGACACAAAGTGTAGATCAGTCAAGGAGGCCTATATTCAACATTAGAATCAATACATCCTATGTTGGCTTTTGGGGCCTGGGAGGCACTGCGGAATGGCAGTGAACCTCGGAGGCATCGGAGCTGGGTACAGGGGCTGCAGGAATGGCAGCCAGGTAAGCGCTGGGCGTGCGAGCTGTGTCGCCTACCCTGAAGGGGCACGGTATAAAAGGGGTAGTTAAACATAGCGGTACCTTGCTCATTTGTTACCCAAAATCCCCAGTGGTGTCGTGAGTTATTGAACGTGGTGCCGGTCTTGGCGGCCGTCGTTCAACATCCTACACCTTGTGCCAGATTGAAGTGATGGCATTGGGTATATTAATCTGCCAGACTTGAATGTCATCTAATATATATAATTTGTGACTCAAATTTCACAGCACTAAATTTTGACATATTGTCTAAATATGCATGATGCTTGTATATCTCAAAAAGTTTGTAACTAATCTGTGATCGCTGAATAACCTGTTGCATTTTCATCTTCTGAGATACAAAATGACATCATCGCAAATATCACTTACAAAAGGCAAAATACTAACTCGGCATATGCCATAGTTGCAAATGCCATCATGTCTGCAGTGTGATAGTATTTGACACCACATCACCAGAGGCCTTTGCACCTAGCTGGCCATTTTTGATATCAAGCTAGTGCCTGTGTCTGGGATGAATGAGTTATGATTGATGGTCGTGATGCAGTAGCGAGTCCAGCATATAAGGAGATGGAGCTAGCTTTCGGTGAAAACAAATGAAAGCATTGCCAAAAAGCATAGAGAAAACACCGAGATTTGCCTCCCTGCATTCAGCATTCCTCACGGACGCTCAGATTGCTACGCCGAATCTTCTGAACTTCAGTTTTCAGCTCAGTCTCAGCTGCATATGTGTGTTCTTCCGTTTGATGCTTTTCTGGAAGACATATGTTGCTGTATACTCTTGCATTTTAACCCCACACATCCCGTCTAACCAGCGATGAGATCTAGCATGTGAGCGATCTGAAAGGACAAACTTATATGCTCCTGCGGACGTGAATGGCCTATGCAATGAGGATTGCACTGATTCATAAGAATCTAAGGCATAATCAAGTGGAGGAGACGGAAGAGCCGGAGTGAGATGTAGCCAGTCCTGTGGCACTTCTGTCCTCGATCCTTGATGCATGATGCCTGAGTGCGGAGATACACGAACATGGCAGCCTGAGAATGCAAAATGGTGCATATATTAAAATGGTCACCGTACACCGGGCACATGAGCCCATGATTCCACAGGGAACATCTTGGACACATTGTAATAACAGTCTAAATAATCATGCAATGTTTTCAGTGAATATATTTTGAAATCATTTTTAATGCTTTAAGCATCAGTACAATTTTGATAACATTCATAATGATGCCACAATCAGGCCCCAATGTTGCAGCTGACAGCATTCAAGCAACATTGCAGTAATATGTTGCAGCTGACAGCATTCAAGCAACATTGCAGTGATATGTTGAATGTTTCTTGAGAAAAATTTTTAAATGATACTTCTGAGGGCTATGATGTCATCAAGATGCTCCCACTGGGTTCATTGTGATCATATAAATTCAATTACTATATATAATAATCTGCTAACCATATTAGGACATCCTCAATGCATCTAAAATGATTTCAGCCCGCACCTGATGGAAAGCATCTAGCACTCATTGTAATGTCACCTTGATCATATTTGTAATGTACACTTAAGGTCCATTCAAAATGATGCCACATGTTGTGTGAATGCTGGCTAGAGAAAAATTGTCGTCACATTATAGTGTCTTTCTGAATGAAATCACAATTATTTCACAATGATGGCACTCAAAATAATTTAAATAATTTCATAATGTTTACACTGGTAACATTATAATTACATTGTGACTGTTATCACAATGTGTTTAAAATTTTTCCAGTGAAATCATGGGCACATGTCCTCAGTGTGTCACAGCGCATTATAGATCCTGCCAAAAGGCAAGGAAATGGCTGCAAGGTACTAGCCACACTCATGACCTGCACAAAAACCAAAATAAGGATCTGCCACAAGGGGGCTAGATCAAAAAGGCATGCAGTGGTATACAGCCTGCAAAAAGGGGCTCAAAGGGCCCTTAGCCTTATAATCACACAAAAAGGGGCTGATGGCTTGTTAGGCCATATACAATAGATGTATGAAACTGGGGGTACCCAGCTTTATCATAGGTACTTATATACATGTAGGGCAGGGCCCCTGGCACTGTGCTACTGTGAGACCTCAGATACCTACATATAAACATATTGTTAGATCTAGTAATGGTCTGGACTTTGCCATAGCAACTATCTAAGAATGGCCGTGATTTGTCCAATGAGATAATTGCTACAGAATGGTGCCACTATATGAGCAGCAAAGTGGTGCCATTATTGAGTGGCCAATAAAGTGTCTGCCATATGGCATATTCGAATAGTGATGCTACCATTTGGTAGCCATGTTGTTGGTGCCACTTCCCACCATGTGACAATCCTAATCCTTTAGGCTGAACCTTTAATCAGTCATGTGACTGGGTTGCTGAATCATGGGTGCTTGATGGTCACGTGGTAGACACAGCCACATCTGCAATGTATGTGCTGATATTATGCTATTTGTCCAAGTATTCACTTTGTTGGACCAATATTAAGGTTGTGCTCATATAACTACTTATGGTTGCCAAATAAGGACTTAAAATGCGAAAATAAAGCTGTCATGTTAAATATTGTGACATGGTGGTAGAAGCTTGAATAAGTATTCTCTTCTGTGGAAACTAGCCAAAGCTAGTGCTTTACAGTTGTGAGTGAGCATTTCAGAAGCTTCCAGACATAGCTTGGCCAATTAATGATAGTGTGACAGCCTTGCATGGCACGGCACCAAAGATATCTTCATTCCTGCTCAGGTCCCTGATAGGAGGGAGTGCATACACAGGCTTGCTGAAACCCGATTCAGAGGGCAGACTAGACATAAATGCCGAAGAGCTTCTCGAGATGTATGGGGAACCAACCTTGTCCCAGACATCCTGGATTGAGGTGGCAGACTCTGTTGGATGCAAGAATGGATATATGGGTTCAGTGGTGGGCCAATAGTTATCAGCAGCAGAAGCAGGCTCCTCAATGAACAGGTCTGACCCAGAGAACTTTAGTTCATGTGCAGCAGTTGTTTGAGAAGTTCGTGGTGCAGCAGCAATGGAAATGGGTTTGTTCTCATTGTCCTTGTTTGCAAGTGACAGGTGTTAGCCCTGCGTTCCCAGTCTACATGTCGGGCATTCTTGACGAACTGCGAGATGAGCTTTTTGGAGATCCATGAATGGTGCTCGCAGATCAGAGACATGGTCTTATCCATCCCTCCATGGTTTGACAGGCAGTGGCAGTAGCACAGAATGTCACAGATCTGTTTCTCGAGCACATTTGGCTAGTTCTCATAGAGCATCACAGGCATGTTGTCGCCCTTCACATCTGCCTTGTTCAGTGAAAGCACCTGCCACTTGTTGGATAACACGAGTACTATAGCTGGCCTCATTTTGCAAAGTTTTTCGTAGATCATGAATAATAATTTGAGTTCTGGGTCAAATTACTTCAAACCTTAAGGATAAGATGTTTAAACATTCAGCTAACCAAATGACCAAAATGATCACTGAAAGGTAAGGAGGACTGCCCATCAAAGAACTTCTGAATCAGAGGGTGTCAAACAGAAGGGTAATGCAAAATCTTGTCACCATCAGTCACATCTTGCCATGAAACAGCTTGTGTTGGCATGCTTGGCAAACTGCTCTATTAGGCAAGTTGGCTTTCAGCCACTGCCACTGATAGGTGTGGACTTCAGATGTGTGATTGCCTTTCCGGGCAGCAGTGGCTGACATCTGTCACACCCAGTCAGTGTTTCCTCAATCTAAGGCATGCCATCCCACAAACAAATCTGGACTTTTCATAGTGTGAATGGAATCTATGTGAAGATTTGTTATTACAAAAACTGAGGAATACAGCAAATAGAATCGGCATAGATCTAAGGATTTCGGCTGAAAATTAGCCACTATTTGAGAATGTAGCCGCAGTGATTGTCCTTGCATAATATGATAACATTTTTCTCATATTTAAGCTGAATGGACTTGAGCTCTAGAGATGATTTTGCAGATTAGAGCAAGCCATAGTATCTTCTGGACCCACCAGAAGAACTGCGGCATTCTGACCCGAGAGGTCGCTGGGTCATGTAGTATGTCCCAGATTTTGTCGAACATGATCTGCATGAGAAGTGCCTTCTCCTGCTTCTAAGATGAAGATGTGAGATGTAGCCCTTTTTAATTTTTGTATCAGTCAGTCAGCTGGGCACCCGAGGTCATGCTGTGAATCTACGAGCATCCATGCATTTTTGGTGGCTGATGGGTCTGGGAGAGCATGCTTCGTGGTGGCCTTAAACTTCTCCTTCACCTTTGCAGCACCAATTTTTGGTTGAATGCAGTTGGTAATGGTGTCCTGCCGCATGGTGGAGAGTTTGGCATCTTGTCCTCAGGAGACATATTAGACATAATGTCAATGATGAGTTTGGATTATATGAGTATATGAATAGCACTAATGCATTTAGTGAGGACTACACAGCCATGTGATAACAAAAACTCACTGGTAGATAGGTTGTTCTGCTGCTCTTGCAATTTATGACCAGCAATGTGAGAGCAAATGAAGGAGTAGTCTGAGGAAAAAGAGGACCCAGGCAACTCTCATATAGGAGTGTCGCAAAAATCTTTCGAAACGAGTCTGAAATATGCAAAGTTTCGGGCCTCCAGTATGCAAAGTGTGACAAGACCTGTGACTATGTCACATTTTGTAATGATACATCACATTTGTATGTCACACTATGTCAGAGTCAGAAAAACACGGATTTGTTTGCAACTCGGAGATGGCCTGCTACTCACTACATTATTATGTGAGGCGAGATAGCCCGCTACTCTCACATAATGATGTTGTGATAATAAAGAGGCTATATGGAGTGCGTATCAAGCTGATGTTTATCAATGCTGTTGTCATGAAAGGTGACATCTTGAAGAAAAGCTGCAAATGCATTCACTGTTGCAGATATTTTTGTTATTTATTTGGGATCAGAATGAGAAGATCTTGATGCACAAACTACAGATTTTGTATCTTTCGAATGTGACAATCCAGCTCCATGAGTTCAAGGAGAGCTATGCAAGCAGCACAATGCACGCATGTACATACTATGATGGCTATCTGGTCAGGAAATCATTTATCTTTATGTTAATATGTGACTATATGGTGGTCTTATTGCATCAATGGCTTGTCACATCAATAATACTAGTGTTTAACCACCCAGACATGCCTAAACCGGGATCTCCGACATGCATTGGGCCCTAAAACATGCTAAGTTGCAATAAAAATAAGAGTCTTTTTGAGAGTTTTTGAGGCCTCTGAGGTCTGAAATATGCAATCCATGACAAGGAAATCATAATTTGGGGCCCCTCAAATATGCTATTTTGTGACACTTCTGTATGGGAGTTGCCCAGATCCTGGAAAAAGCAAGGGAGAAGGGCACCTAACAGGTGAGTGACATGGTCACGTAAATGGATGTTGTGGCTTGTGCCCTTTTATGGCCTTGTCTAGGCAGACCTATTTTTTTTTTGAGGGAGCGATGGTCAAACATTGTGCAGCGGTGCAGTGCGATGACCTTATACTTAAAGCTGTGGCACTGTAGTGATCTCGGGGGCAAAGTGGCTCACAATCGCACCTTGATGAGTCTGTATATTATGGTGCTATGCCACAAACAAAAGAATGACAAATAAAAAAAAAAGAACCTAAAGGCTAAACTCTAGTGGCAGCACTTGTGCAATCAAAAGACTACTCACTGATGTGAAGTAAGTCTGGAAAGGTGATAGAGATATATAGGCAGGCTGGTTAGGCCTTAGTCTGTGTAGTAATATGATGAGAAGAAATGATCTGAGGTTTCTTGCTCTATAGGCTGGTCTTATATACATACATGTATCGAGTGCTGGTTACTACATGACATGCTATTGGCTATCTACGTACCTTTGCAACTAAACTATATATAAAACAATAAGTGGGAGAATCTACCTATATGCAAAACAATGGATGTGAAGATCTGTCCTTATCTGTAACAATGGTGAGATGATCCATCCTATCGTGGTAACGGCTATACTTTGAGCTGATTGCCTAGATAATCCCTAACAATAGTCCTTGTTCCCTTTGTTTCCAAATGGATGCCTCTATTATGTCCTGGAATAGACAGGTCTGACCAGATCATCCACAGGTCTGGACCATAACATGTGATGTAGACTATCACCTGATCTCAAGTGTCATGTCTGTGGCTGAGTGGCATGAGATATTGGTAAAGCACGTGGTCTGTGGTGTGAGAAAAGTTATGTGTGGACTTTGTGGTGAAAATCTGTGACACTACCCCCCTTTCATGGTTCAGCTTCCTGTGGAACCAAAACCTTTATCCTCTCATCCATGTCTGTCCCCCAATGGTTTCTTATTGTCGACTGATATTCCTTCAGCAAAGACTTCAAGAATAATCTGAGCTATGCAGTCACCGACAGAGACTTTGAAGGGATGGTCTGAGTGATTGATCATGATGACTTTAAGTTCCCCTGTGTAGTCAGGGTCAACAACTCCTGCTCTAATATTGATTGTCCATCATGCGGACAATCCACTGCTTAGTGCAATTCTGATGTAAGTGCCAACTAGGGGTTCAATGGCGAGCCCAGTTCCTACAGTTGCATGGGCATGTGTCACAGATTTTTGCCACAAAGTCCGCACGTGACTTTACCCACACCATAGATCATGTGCTTCACTAATATCTCACGCCACTCAGCCACAGATGTGACATGTAGAGATCAGGTGATAGTCTACATCACATGTTACGGTCCAGACCAATGGATGACATGGTCAGACCAATCTATTCCAGGAACCACAAGGGTGTTCATTTTGGAAACAAGGACAATTACTATAAATCATCTAGGCAATCAGCTCAAAGGATAGCCATTACCACAATAAGGAAAGGTCACCGAAGCCCAGGGATTTTCCATAGCATTGCTTGAATCCCACGAGGAAGAACCTCTTCACTTATTTTTTCACAGAGACGTTCCTGCACTAGTACATATTAGGATAGATTTGCTCTCACGAGCATATGGCCTTTTGTCCTGGACTTGACCAATGCTGTAGTAGTCAGTGGGATCTCGTTCCAGATAGGTAAAGTAGCAGTAGTAAGTGGCCCATCCTGTACACATATATAAGACCAGCATGTAGAGGATGAAACCTCAGATTGTTTCTCCTCATCTACCAAGCATAGCAACCACTGAGCCTACCAAGCTCCACTATATATATCTATCACATTTCCATATACTTGCTGGCACACCAGTAAGTAGGTAGGTCTTTTGACACTACTTGGGATCTGGGGGGATCAGGGCAGCATGTTCCATGTGACTGACCCTGTTTTGGTCTTTTTGATCTCTTGTCCAGCGTCGCTGTGACATTAGAAACAATCTGACATTTTCTGCACCCCTGCTTAGTGTCTAATGCAAGCAGCCACATATTTTCAGTGCAAGCATCTTCAGCCGTAGCGTGCAGCTTTTCCCACACACATTCCAATTTGACTTCTACCCGGCGTGAGCCTCAGCAAGATGCTGAGCAGCCCAAGGCAGCAAAGTGCAAGGCCACCCATAAAGAAGATCCCTACACTGGCTACAAATGCTGCAAGACCAACCAAGAGTGAGGAAGGCTCCTTACCTTAGCATCCCTAGGTGCTTCATCCACAGATCAACAATGATCGGCGGCCAGGGTAGTAGACACTATGCATATTAGGGTACAAGGCATCATTCATTGCCTTCACAGTCACACCCCTCTGCTCGAACGTTACAATCCCAGAGCTGGATGTCTCACCACAGATGGATGCAAGCCAAGACCTCCACCCAAGATCATCACCAGCAATGCCATTCCCCCCACGATCATCACTCTGCAGCTGATATGACCCATACAACTTAGCGCATGACCCATTCGCCCACTCCTGTCCACAGTTAGACCCACGCTTCACAATGACATGCTCAAGAAGCAGGTATCTGCTACCTCCTTTAGGCTTCAGCTGATACCGGGAGCATATTGAGAGAGAATAAGTCAGGACTGGAGGAAGAAAGTACAACTTCTTGCATCGGAGTTAGACAAAGTCTGCGCAGACTTATACATGGGTACTCGCAAATACACCTTCGTCGAGACTCAGGTCATCAACATGTGCTGCTTGGAGATAGGCAGAATTAGTTTCAAGAAGATAGGGAAGCAGCAGAGGCTAGATGAGATCGTCAAGGAGATTGGGAAGGTCAAGGACAAATAGTACCTAGGCTTCATCTTCAATTAGATATATACTTCTTTTACTTGTGAAAATGTCATCCAATCGAGCACAAATGACTACCTTCCAACAACAAATGGAAGATATCCTTCACCCAAACATCGAGACACATGAAAGTACACCCTATGCCTCTAGTCAACCATTACCAGAGCTCCAACCTGGAGATTCTGCATCGCAAGTCAGAGGACCATTGTCTCCAACACCATCACTCCTCCCAGCATACATACCTTTCACATGGTCCTATGATGGACATCAATATGAGCATCTCGAAGATGCCATTAGGCAGTCCACCCCCGGCAAGATACCCAATAACATCCATGAATGAGTAATCATCGTCATGAAGTCCATGGTCAACAATAAACTCAAAAAGATGTATAACGTACTTGGTGACAAGATCTATGAGCACAAATGAATTCTTGAGGCATCCATTACATCAATCCAAATGAAGCAACATCTCAAAGAGGCAGTACTCAAGTCCAAGAATGAAAAACTCTCGGACAGGATCAAAGCCCAGGATGCACACATGGTCATCCTAACTGACAAAATCACAGGAACTCAGGAAGCTATGTTGGACATGGGAAAGAAAATGATGGAACTAGGCAGCGAAAATATCAAGCTGCATCATGAGCTAGCTTCACTTAAAGCAAGCGGCGTCACAATGATGCAAGGTCAAACATCCGGCACGGTCCAACCCAACCATCCTCGCATCAAAATTGCCAAACCTCCACACTACTCAGGCAAAGGAAGTTTGGAGGACTGGCTCTAACAACTTGGTATATGAATGTGGTGGAATAAGATCAATGATGATGAATGCAAAATCACTATGGCACTGCTGCACTTGGAAGGTGGTGCATTCACCTACATGTCAGAATATGTGACCAAGGTAGCAGCATGACAATTCCTCGGTACTTGGGAAAACTTCATCAACATTCTCATGGTGAACTACAGGACTCTCGACCTGGATAAGGATGAGCAACGGCACTGTGAGGTGGCCAGCATGGCTGCCCCCCACTATAATTGTGCTCCCTAACATTTGACAGCAAGCTCAGAGCAGAACAGGCACATCGTATTTAGGGCAGGACAGATACATCGAGTCTGTGCTATGGATCGTTTACATGGATGGGGCCCTCCAAACCTCAGGACGTGACCTCAGAACCAACTGTCACCTTCAGAAAAGTGCTTTGGGTGCAGCGTATGGTCCAGATCATCACCAGCTTCTACAGACATGGAGGTGTATGGCACCACTGAAGGCTGGCCATGTTGGAGCGAAAGGGAGGTGGAAGCTTTGGATGAGGGAATGTCGGGGCTCATTGATCTTTGTCCAAGCATGTCAAGCAAGCATTGCCACAATCAAGGGTCCGAAAAAAGATCTCCAACCATTGTGGCTGACCTTGAACCATGATTGTGTGACAAATAAAAGGTGGTGAGGGCACGGAGATCACAGACCTACTCAAAGGAGTCAGTCAGTGGCACCTGCATTCCTGTCCAGGTGAGCTCAGTGCAGGTGGTGTCAAGGAGCGCCTGAGGCTACAGGTCAATCTAAATAGGAGAAAAAGGAAGACATAGAACACGTACCAGGAGGGATCAGACTCGGTGGCACCATTTATTCCACTCAACCACAGCGGAACACAAACCAGATGGAACATGTATGCATTCCATGGACAGAGCCTCAAGCAGCAGAAGATATTGATGTATGCACAGGGTGTAGATGGATCGCTGTTCACCAGGGATGCCATCTGGTGTGTAAGACATGGCAAGATGAGAATAGGGTGGAGAGTGGCAATAGCTGAGAGGGGCACAAGAAGGGGCAGGCAGGTTGAGGTGTGTACATGTCCAAGGACCGCAGCTGTAGACCAGGTGAGGTACCGATGGGAGACTGCATCCAAGATGATGTCAGGAAACCCCAGCATATGAGCACAGACCAAGAAACAGGTGAAACCATTGGGGCAGCATAGGCGAGGTGTCCAAAGAATGGACAGGGCACCTTCAGATCAGGAACAAGGAAACTTCCATGGTATGGGATGGCCGCTGGGATGGGCCCTTGAGGAATGCAGTGAGCAGAGTGCAACACAGGTGAATAGAAGGCAAGGAATTCAGAATGAGATGTGATGGGGTGGTCTGCAGCAGCAGGCCCTCCAAGGAATTCAAAATGAGATGAGTGAGGCAAGGGAATGAGTTACAGGACCAATCGGGGTCCGATGTGCAATTAAGTCTCAGATGAACATGCCCTGAGGGCATAGTATAAAAGGGTGGTGCAGTTAGGTAGTTGGGGGGAGCTCGGACAGCATATCTAGGAGCTAGAGTATGTGATGAGGCTTGCATAGCAGTGCACAGAGACAGTGGTCTCCCTCTCCTCCACAACCTACTGCTTCTACTTCATGATCTAATCAGAATCTTTGCTCTCACTGTTGAACGCGGTTGATCAACCATCAGGACATTGCCACTGAAACAGTATGCCCACCTCCTGAGACTCCTGTACTCCATCCAGAAGTCATTAGACTTGCCCCGGAACTGTTTTATTGTGCGTATCTTGCATATATCACCCTGGCCCATACACTCTACATGGCTGGTGGTCTATTGGGTGCCATGTTGATTCACTTCTTCACCATATTTTACATTTGGCTCTTGCATTGGCTTTAGATGCAGACCTTCCCTGCACTGTTCCCCCTTCACCCTACCTGGTTGTTTGCTGTCCTTTCACAGCTAGCTGAGTACTCACAATCACATTTTCTGGAGCCCACCATGAGGGAGGAAAAGTTTAGGAAGGTGAAGACCTGAAGCCAAGTCAGGGTGGCCCAAGCCCTTGCCAAGGAAAGAGTGTCCGGTAGAGCAGACTCTCTGGACGTGGACGCCTCAGCTTCATCAACACTTTTGGCAGTGCCAAGCATCTCAGACAAAATTTTCAAGGAAGCGATCGAGACCGTGACTGAGACCACGTCAGACCCCAGAGTGACTACCAAAAATCTGTATCCTGAAATCCCGATTGACAACATGTTGGCAGGAGTGGATGAATACGAACTGTCAACGTATGATGACATGACGGACATAGCATGGCAAGAAGATTCCATACTATGAGATCTCTCTATGATTCTCCCTGGGCACTTCACAGTATCAAGGGAAACAGTGACGACCCCATCTGAAGTACGAAAACACAAACATATGCTCTCCTACATGCCCGAAGGAGCATCAGGTAAGATGGCCTCGATGGTCACTGTTCAGCGACCCCCAGAACTCGTAACCAGGACTAAATCGGTGTTCACCTCACAAATATCAATCTTTACCATGGCAGGGCACAGTGGAGGATCCGGTCCAGGCAATGGAGGATCCCATGGTGGCAGCCGGGGGGGGGGGGGCAGTGGCAGCAGCAGAGGAGGAGGCAGCAGACTGGGTAGGAACCCAGGCAGTGGCCTAAGTGGATCGAGCAGACTTGGCAGTGAATATGGTGGGGGATCAGGCAGTGGTGGAGGGGGAGGTGGCAGACCAGGCAGATCAGGCAGACCAGGTGGATCGGCAGGACCAGGAGGTAGTGGCGGCGGCTGGGGCTGGGACCAGGACAAGCTCCGGGAAGGGGTTTTTTGATGCCAGCCTGAGGACAGAAGACTGCTCCAACATTCGACAGAGAGCCTTGAAAGCTGCACTAATACTTTGATGATCTGGATGAGCTAGCAATCCAGGCTGGGCTTACAGGAGCACAGAAAGTTCACTATGTGCTGCACTACCTCACCATACAATAGGAGGAGTTATGGTTTACAGTCCTTGTGGCAGCAACAACTGACTATGTGATGTTCAGACAGCAGATCTTCGAATTATATCCTGGAGCAGAGGGCGACCAACTCTACACCACTGCCAACCTGGAACAATGTGTCTCTGAAGCACTCACCCAGGGCATTCACACTTGAGCTGAAGAAGCTATCTATTTCCATGAATTCACTCCAATAGTGAACTACCTGATCCAGATGGGACGAGTATCGCCCATGGCCCGAGACGAGCGGTATGTTAGGGGATTCCACCTGACCGAGAAAGCAACCATTCTGCTCCGGTGCAAGATACTGCACCCAAACCATTATCTGGATGATCTATGGAGCATGAACGATGTCCACGATGCTACGCAGAAGACTCTGGTGGGGGGGGAGGTCCAGTTGGGGGTAGCTATGGGATCCTTGGAGGAGGTGCTAATGTCGGTGGTCTGGGACTCACCCCGGCTGCCCCCACAACAATCTCTGCTATGAGTGCAACCAATGAAATGACCTTCAAGGTGACTGCAGCAGCCATCAAGCAAGAATCTGGCAAAATTTCAGACCTGTGAAAATCGGTAGAATGCCTAATGAGCTTCTTACAGAGTCAGGCTCAGTCCAACACAGGCAGACAGGGGTGCTGGGGAGGCTATGCATCGCAAGGGCCAGCCAGTACATTTGCAGCAAGCTTGGCAGCAGAAGCACCCGGAAACATGACAGGTTACCCCATGAACTGCAATTGCAACTACTGTGATAGACCGGACCACTTGATGAGTCATTGCCCCATGTAGAGGAGGACGTCAAGGCTAAAATGGTCACATCTGACTGCCAGATGGAGGATATGTTCTGAGGGCACTCTCCAGAAACAACATGCAGGATCGGGTCAACTCCTGGTACTCTCAGCACCTCAGGATGTCTGTCCTGGGAGCGGTTCAGTCTGCTGCGACTCCACAAGTGAGAGATCAGCTGCCGCACCAGGTCAATATACTCGAAGAAGTGCGCGAGATCAACATGGCAGTTATTGATGAACCAGGGAACACAGACAGGATGGAGCACGTGTTCCAGGCAATAGACAATAGCAGATGAAGGGTGCATTTCGATGGGGTTGAGGTTATCAGTGGCAAGCCTGGAAAGGACAAGGCTGGGCCTGAGGAAGGGTGCAGAGCACAGAAGGGACTGCCCAGAATCAAGGCTAGTTCACTTCCAGGGGATATTCTGGCTTCACAGCCCACCTATGGATATCGTACCCCAATTGAAGACAAGAAAAATGTCTCTGGGATAGTCAGGAAGATACTCGACCTACCTGTAATGGTCACCATTGGAGAGCTCATGCAGCATGCCCTAGAACCACAGAAGCATCTCAAGGAGCTGATCACCCTGAAGTGCATAGCAACAACGGCCTGGGTCGAAGAAGTCATGAATGAAGATGAAGTCAACATGGGTGAGGGGAGTGTGTTTCTGATGGCCCTCAAGATGACATTATCTATGAAGGGATTGCTCCCACTCTGGGTCATCAAACTAATGATCAAGGACATGCTTCAGTGTGAATGTATCCTGGACCAGGGCATGCAAATATGTGTCATGCAGGAGAATGTCTGGAAAGACCTCAGAGCCCCTTTCAACCTGGACGAAGTAATTTTGCTGGAGACTGCAAACACCTCAGTGACAAAGACAGTCAGGAAGCTGCCATGTGTTCAGCTCCGCTTTGGGTCAGTCGTCATTGCAGTACAAGTTCAGGTGGTACACCATGCGCCATTCAAAAATCTCTTAGAGTGACCGTTCTTTGCTACAGTGGCCTGTGAGACTTGAGACTTTGCCTCCGAGGAGCAGCAGATCACAATCACGGATTCACACTCAGGAGAGCAGGTTGTGGTGCCAACAAAAGCTTGGACTATGCAGCAGGAAGTCAATCTGAACCTCGTGAATTTTCACGGGTCGATGAATCGGGTGTAGCTCGAGAAGATGCAATATTAGGATTGAAGAGACATGCCCTGAGGAGAAGAAGGCATGTGCAGAAATCAGCTGGGTACAGTCCGAAACTGTGTCCATTAGTTCCACATCATCTTTCATCCCATGTAAAGTCACTGAATCTGAAATACATTTTTCTTCACTGTATGATGTGAGGCGTGAGTGCATGGATCTTCGGACTGGGTTTTGGACTGTGGAGATGAGACTGTGGAGTCACGGGAAGGCGGGATGGGTCATGGTCGAGAAACAAGAAACAGAAGTATTCACCTACAAGAAGGTGGCCAACCGGGTCAAGCCCATGGTGACCACATTATCAGAAGAGTTCCGAATTGTGTGAAGGAAACCAGTCAACCTGATGAAGGGGCTTCCAACCCTACTGGTTCACCTGCCCAAATTCGAGTCTCAGGAAAGGTGCACACAGAAGAGGCATGATGCGCTTAATGTCACTGGCAATGGTTTCCTCTGGCTGGAGGAGATGAAGCTTACAGATTTCTTAATATGCGCACACAACACAGCATTTGCATAGGACAAAATGAAAAAGAGGCAGTTTCAGGATGAGTACTTCGACCCAGTAGTCATTTTGACAGTGGAACACATCCCGTGGGTGCTTAAGAACATGCCGATATCACCGGGAATATTTGAACAAGTGGTACAGATCATCAAGGACAAGATTGACTTGGGGTTTATGAGGGATCGAACTCATCATATCATTCAAGGTGGTTCTGCATTGTCAAGAAGGACAGAAAGTCGCTCTGGCTGATTTACGACCTATAGCCACTGAACGGGATAGCAATTAAAGATTCAGCAGTCCCTCTGATGGTGGAGCATCTGGTGGAATCCTTCAGGGCCCGTGGGTGCTATGGAAGCCTGGACCTCTTTGTTGCTTTCAACCAGCAGTCCCGTAACTTGACCTCCTTTCAGACTCCACTAGGGTCTCTCCAGCTTACCTCGATTCTGATGAGCTATACCAACTTGATGCAAATCATGCATGGTGATATAACACACATTCTGCAGGATGAGATACCAGAGGTCACTGTTCCCTTCATCGACGATGTGCCAGTGAAGGGGCCCGTGACACATTATGAGCTTCCGGAGGGTGGGTACAAAATACATTAAAGGAATGCTCAACAATCTGAACATTCAACCCAATACAACCATCAACTGCTGGATAGCTGGGATTCTCCTTTTTGACTTTAACCTGGTGCATGTTCTGGCAGCATGACATGGGGTGGCAGATGGGCTCTCGTGGTGACCTGGGGCAGTTGAAGATGAGCTGGGACCAGATGACTTCGAAGAGTGGATCAATAAAGTGTGTGCATTTACAATGGAATGGGCCAACCTCAGCCCGGAAATGAGACTTCGGGGCCAGTACAGCACGTGTAGGGAAGATATGATGGGCACCATGTCAGTGTTCTAATCTAAGACAGTCACAAATATAGAGATTCCCTGTATGCTGAAGGCTCAGCAGGCAAATGAGTTGGAGAAGAAAATCCAGCACTTCCTTGAAGAGCCACAGAAACCGGATGGACTAAATAAGAAGGAGTTCGACAGGTTTGTCTACGAGGCAGCACATTTCTTCATATGAGAAGGCCGGCTATGGTGGAGAGATGCCCAGGGATGACACAAGCAGGTTCTGGATGAGGTTCACCATTATGCACTGCTCTGAACAGCTCACGATGAGCTAGGTCACAAGGGCATCTTTACTGTCTGGATGAGGTTGCTGGAGCAGTTCTGGTGGCTGTACCTTGACCAGGATGTTAAATGGTATGCCCAAACCTGTCATGAATGCCAGCTTCAGAAAGTGTACAAGTACCATGTACCCCCTCTGATGGTGCATGTGCTGGGACTGTTCCAGAAGCTATACGTGGATTCAATGCATATGCCAAAAGCAGGCAGATACACACACATTGTGCAGGCCTGGTTCATGCTCTCATCCTGGCCTGAGTGGAGGATGTTGCAGCAAGAGACCAGAAAGACTCTCGGGGCATTCTTATTTGAGGAAGTGCTTTGTCGGTGGGGAGCAGTCATGGAGATAGTCACGGACAATGGGGCACTGTTCATTGCGGCACTGGAGCACCTCCACAAATGGTATGGGATCATGCATATCTGGATCTCAGCATACAATTCTCAAGCAAATGGTATCATGGAATGGTGGCACTTCGATGTCTGGGAAGCAGCCATGAAGGTTTGCAGTGAGAAAAATTTGATGGACTGGCCGAAGGTTATACATGCCGTCTTCTGGGTGGAAAGGGTCTCGATTCAGAAGAGTACCGGGCAGTCTCCATATTTCATGGTCCATGGGGTGGAGCCAGTATTTCCATTTGACCTTACAGAAGCTACGTATCTCTCTCTGGCCACGGATAAGCTGATGTCGATGGAACAGCTCCTGGCAGTATGGGCATGACAGTTACTCAAGAGGCATAAGGACCTGCAAGAGGTCCAGAGACAGGTTTGGGCCACGTAGTTCAAGTCAATCAAGCAGTTCGAGAAAGCATTCAAGAACACGATCCATGAGTTTAAGTTCGATGTGGGAGATCTGGTGCTGGTAGAAAACTCGCAATTCAAAACTGATCATAACCAGAAGTCAAAGCTGTGCTATGTTGGGCTGATGGTCATGGTCCGATGCAATATGGGAGGTTCATACATTCTGGCTGAGTTGGTTGGTTCTATTTCAAAGCACCACTATGTGGCTTTTAGGGTCATTCCATACAAATTGCGGATGGATGCACAGGTATCACTACAGGACGTGCTACATCAGGAACTGAAGGAGGTACAGAAAGATCTGGACACAATTGAATAGGAGTGGGAAATAGAGCCATCCTCTGGAGTTGATGAGGCCCCATCTGATGAGGATCAAATGGCCTCTCGAAGGGTCTGGGCAAGGGGGCTGTAGTTGAAGTTTCAGGCCTTGTCCAACATAGATGCGATGAGGAGCAGGAATTGAGGGCTGCTTATGAGGGTAGAGAGCTCATCTTGTAGGTGCTCATGTTGTTCGAGGGATTCGGTGAAGGCACGGAAAAGGTGGGCGAGGGCAAAGCCAAATTTGGTGTTCAGAAGGGACACCGTCCAGAGATCATGTATAAGGGTGAGAAGGGTGACACGGTCATAATGAATGGAACTATGAAGTTCAGCCTTCAGGCCAATGGCCTCCTCCTCCACAGCATCATGGACCGATGACTTAATATCCTGAGTTAAGCTCTCTTTAATAGCTGTACAGGCATGATCGAAAATGCATTTGTACCTGGCCTCCAAGCTGTTGAATGTTGCAACCAAGATGTCCTCCATAGTGGATATTCAGTGAATGAGCTCTGGGAGAGTATGGATGGGGGTATCGGAAGCAGCAAAGGTGACCAGGAAAGGGGATGAGAGGGACGGGGTAGATGCGGCCTCACCAGCCAGTGTCGCCAGGGCAGAATTGGCTTCGGGAAGCGTAATCCTCACCGGGGTGGGCCCAGGACTGAGGAAGTGGCTCTCAAACTGAGGATCAGCATGCAGACAGCTGTACTCTTCACCACGGACTCTCCACATGTGAAAGCAGGTGAGGGGTTGTTGGAGCGTCAACTAACTGAGCAGAGAAGGCATTGAGCTTTCCATGGATGTCTTGATGGCAATATAGTCCTGCAGATCCAGCTATCAGTTGGGGTTAGTGATGGTACCACCAGGAGTGTGACATGCTGGTGCATACCCGCTAAGCTTCTAACACACGGAGATGTGACAAAAATTCATCCTGGCTATCTGGGAGTCGGACCACCATCGAAGCGGCAAACTGGTCAACCAACATGGCAAGGCAGGGGTGAGTGGCATCCTCCACTCTGGGAATGTGCCATGCTCAAGGTAGATGGACATGGTGAGCTCTCACACTGTCTGGGTGACATACTGATCTGCGATGGGCGTGATGGTTACGGGGTCCAGCACTGGGATGGTGGGGGCCTGGGTGGTGGCAGCGGATGACATTGCGCATGGTGGGGAGGAGTGGAATGTGAGATGATGGAGAGGGTTAGAGGGGTGAAAGTTGTAGAGCACGCCCATGTTGAACTACTCAGATCAGCACACAGATGTGCCGCGGACTTTCAACTGCTGGTGAAAACTATTGTGGAGGCAATTTCGGGTCATGGAACACAACATGCATGTCAGCTCATGGGCAGCCCAGCTGGTGGCTGCACAGGCTGGGCCATCTGTGTTCTGTGACAGTCTTGGGCACATAACAACAGGTGAGGTCACTTACAGACAAAGGGGACAAGGTGATGAGCAATGAGCAGACATATGCTGAAGTTCACAGGTGTGATATGAGTGCGAACATGTATATTGGTGAGTACCAAATATATTACAAGATATATAGAATGTACCTGGAGTTCATGGGCATGATATAATTGTGAACATGAACTCCTCAAGACAAAAAAAGTCTGCTACTAGGCAGCGGCACATGGCCGGCTAAGTCCAAAGTCGATGCGCGCCGCACATACTAAGTGTCGATCTGTACCTCTAGCATAGTAAGGAAGGTATTAAAAAGGTTCATTTACCATACATTTTGTCACTCCCACTCAGTGAAACCTTAGTACTCTCCCACTCCAAGAGCTGCCCAAAACTTTTCGAAAGCCTCATGAGGCAATGGCTTGGTGAAGACATCGGCAACCATGTCCTTCGTCGAACAATATTGCAAGTTGATTTCAGAGTTTGCTATGCATTCACGAATGAAGTGATGCTGAATGTCAATATGTTTTGTGCAAGGGTGAGAGGTCGGGTTGCAGTACAAAATGATACAACCAAGGTTGTCACCATGCAGTACCATCACCAATGTTTGCGTGTAACCCAGGTCCTCAAGTAGAATGTGAAGCCAAATGGCTGCTTTGTTCGCATTTGTGGCCACCATGTACTCTGCCTCTACTGTAGATAGTGCGGCTGTCAGTTGTTTCTTCAATGATCAGGAGACGAATCCTCCTGCAATCTTGAATGTGAAGCCACTGACAGAATGTCATGAGTCAGTGTCTTGAGCCCAGTCTGAGTCTGTCTAGCTGACAAGATCAATGCCATTGCCGCTGCCACCGAGGTGAAGTTGGAAGTGTGCGGTACCCTTAAGATATCGCAATACCCTCTTCAAGGCCTCGAGGTGAGGTTTGCCTGGATTGGCTCCAAACTGTGCAAGCATGCTGACTGCGTATTGAATGTCCGGTCATGTCTGCATAGCATATAGGATGGCACCGATGATCTTGAGGTATTTGAGACCGTTTGCATACCTTTCATATTTCACTGCTTCGGTGGGCATTGATGGACTCTGCACAGTAGAGAGGCATTCCTTGACTGTGAGGGGAGTCGAAACAGGGGTGCAGTCCTCCATGCCGAAATGCATGAGGACAGACTTGATGTATGCTGCTTGGTTAAGGTAGATTGTCTGAGCTTGGTGGTCATGCCTAACCTGTATGCCGAAGATGTACTGGAGTTCGCTGCCATCTGTGATATCGAAGTGATCAGCCAAATCCTTCTTGAACCTCATGATGCATGCGAGCTCTTTCCCTGCCACAGCCATATCATCAACATAGACTAGCACCAGCAGCATGACCTTGCCGTCCACCTGGAGGATGTACAGGCAGTCATCTGCTGAGCCTTTCCCAAAGCCCAGCTTCCTCATCACCTCATCGAGTCTCTTCTTTCATTGCCTCCCAGCCTGTTTCAGCCTATACAGTGCCTTCTGCAACCTTCAAAACCACCCATCCTTCGGATCCTTTCCTGGCTCCTTCACTCCTTCTGGCACTTCCATATAGATTTCCTTATCAGATCACCTTGTAAGTATGCACCTACAATGTCGACTTGGTGTAGTTCTCAGTCCTCATGGGCAATGATCGAGAGGAGCACACAGAAGGTCGTAGAACGAAAGACACTAGAAGAGACAAAGAGGGGGTTAAAGTCACGATTGGGCACCTGCGAGAAGCCACGAGCAACGAATCGAGCCTTGTATTTGGTCACGTTTTTGAAGCCATTGTGCTTTTGCTTGAAGAGTGTGTGGCTTCTGACTGCTTTACGACCTTCAGGTAAGTCGTGAACCCACTCGAAAGTGCCAGTGCACCTCAACTGCTCATATTCAGCTGTGATTGCATCCTCCCACTGCTTCACATGAGATGACCGCATTGCCTGCTTGTAAGTCATCGGGTCACCAGCAAAGGTGACGAACGCCTGATTCTGGCCATCCAAGGTTGACTCCACAGTGGCATCGGTGCTGGCACTAGTGTAGTGGGCTGGCATGTGTTGTGCATGTGATGATGGCTCTCACATAGGTAAGTTTGCCCATTTTGCAGTATGGGCAGCTTTTGGCTCATCAGCCATGGGTGCAGGCGCTTGCTCTGGTGCCAGACCACCTGCATCGGGTGCCACACTGAGCTCATGTTTGACCTGCCCTTCACTCGCCAAGTCAGATGCTGGCTGGTGGGACAGTAGTGGGGGTGGTGGCCATGCTGTGGTAGAGCTTATAGGTGGTGGCGGCACAGACTGCTTGGGTGTCTCAGGTACGAGGTTTTCCAGGTCATGTGAACTTGCCAGATGGGGGACTGCTTCCATGATTGCCAGGTTACTGAGCTGGTCATCCTCAATGAAACACATGTCCCATGATGTCAGCAGCTTCCCGGTTTCTGCATCCTCAAGACGATATCCTTTCGTCTCATCTGCCTAATGCCCTAGCAGTTGGCACTTCACCGACGTCACCACCAACTTTCCACCACGAAGCTTCTTCGGGATGTTTGCAAATGCAGTGGATCTGAAAATGCACAGGTGGGAGACATCTGGCTTCTGACCCATCCAAGCATGCACGGAAACCATTCCAGTGAGGGATGAAGTATATGTCATGTGGACAGCGTATATGAACACCTCACCCTAGTAATGCAGATCCATCCCTGCCAAGTGCAACATGCAATGCACCATCTCAAAGAAGACAGCAATTGCTCGCTCAGTGATGCCATTCTGCTCAGGAGTGTAGAGAACCATCGTTTGGTGTACAATGCCATTGCGCCAACAGAAGGCATCGAGTAAGTTATTCACAAACTCTGATCCATTGTCTGAGCACATGCGCTTCGTCTTGACACCAGACTGATGCTCTAACATGGCTACAATCTCCTGCAATGCCTGGCCCACCTCCTCCTTCATCTTGAGGAGACAGCCTACTCCATAGCAGCAGCTTGCCTCTATGATGACAAAAGCGTACTGCATGCCAGTCCATGTAGGGACAAACATTGAACCTGTGAGGTCAACCATGAGCAGCTCCATTTTCTCATAAGTAGTGTGACTCTTCTTTGGGAAAGGCAGATGGTGTGACTTGCCCAGTGCACATCCCTCACAGACCCGATCGAAGTCCCTCATCGATGTGATCTCCAACCCCTGCACTAACTCCTTCCGCTGCATCTCCTGGATCGCATCAAGGTTTGCATGACCAAGATGCCAATGCCAGAGGTGCAGACTCCCACTCGAGCCAACCACAAAGGCCACACCACCCTCCAATAAGAGTCGATCAAAGTAATAGAGTGTGCCTGCATTGCTCATAAGTGTAGCTCGGAATAGTTCGTCATGGCTGAGTTTGACGATAAGACTATCTTCATAGCTGATGACCGAAGCTCCTTGTCATTGCAGAGTATCCAGGCTGACCAGGTTGGCTGTGAGACGAGGGACATGGCTCACCCCATGAAGGATGACTGTCCAATATCCATTCAGCAGCTGGCTTTTCCATCAAATGCTTCCCTGCCCAACAACAGGAATGGTATATTCATCACCTGTGGAGATCATTTCAGAAGCAGTGGATGGTATATAGGTGGAGAAGAATGAGCAATCGCAGAACATGTGAGACATCACACCACAGTCCAGGATCACCTTCACACTAGACTCCATGCCATCAAGGGCCATATAGACTTGGCCCAGCTCCCGGAGCCCTAGATCCCACAGGGTACCAGTTGTGTAGTTCACAGAACCACCATTCCACTTGTTCTCCTTTGCATTATGGGGACACTTGTTCGACCAATGACCTTTCTCACCACAACTGTTGCACACATCGTCGGGCTTCAGTCCACGCTTCTTCAGCTTGTGTTTCTTCTTCTCTGCTAGTAGCGCTGTCTCGCCACCAGTCTTTTCACGCAGCCTTCGATTTACTTCTGACTGAAGCTTGGTGCTGACCACCTTCGACATTAACTGCTTCGAGTCCATTGAGAACAGTTGAATCTTCATAAGTTCCCATGACTGCATGCGAGGGAGTGAGAGCACGAGAGCATGAGCAACATGAACATTGGGGAGCATTTCCCCAGCCACAGTAATCTTCTGCCAGATATTAATCATCGTGGCGATGTGGTCGGCCATGGATGCTCCATCAACATACTTTTGAGTGTATAGCTCCTCAAAGAAGTAATGGATGTTGATTGCCTGCTGGTTCGTGACATGAACCTTCTTCCACTTCTCCTATATATCCTTTGCCATGACACATTCTGCAACGTGTGGCCACTGTGAGCTTTTTGTGGTGCTCTTCATCAGGCCCTGTGCTGCCTGATCTCTAAGCTTCCACTCCAGCCACTCCTTCTTCTCCTGCTTGTAGTCTGCCTCTGGCTGGTCCTTCGGCTTTGGTCTGCTGGCTGTGCAGGGCAGGCTTCCACCCCTGTGACCAACAGCCAGAGATATCATGACTGAAATGTGGCTTGCATCTGCATGGCCCATTTAGCATAGTTCAAGCCAGAGAGCTTGGCGAACTTAAAGGCATCACTGCTGGTAAGTGTTGAAGACATACCGAGTGAGGAATGTGAACTGCTGGGGCTCATAACCTAACAACAGACAAGGTTGCTTATGGATGAAGGGGACGAGGTGATGAGCAATGAGCGGATGTGCGCTAGAGTTCACAGGCATGATATGAGTGCAAACGTGTATATTGGTGAGTACCAAATATACTACAAGATATATAAAACATACCTGGAGTTCACGGGCATGATATGAGCATGAACGTAAACTCCTCGAAATGAAAAAAGTTTGCTACTAGGTGGCGGTGCATGATCGGCTAAGTCCGAAGTCGATGCGCCCCGCATATACTAAGTGTCGAGCTGTACCTCTGTCACAGTATTTGACATGACAACTTTATTTTTGCATTCTTAAGTTCTTATTTGGCAACCACAAGTGACTTGTAAAAGCATTACCATTAGCGTTACATTGTGGGAAAAGCGTTACCATTTACGTTACATCCACTCAGTGACGTGACCAACTAAAGGTCCAGCCTAAAGGATAAGGATTGCCACATGGTGGAAAGCAGCACCAACTACAATGGCTACCCAATGGTAGCATCAGCATTTGGATATGCTATGTAGCATAATTCCATTGGCCACTCACTAAGTGGCACCACTTTGCCGCTCACATAGTGGCGTGCATTGGACGTACCACGACCATTTGTAGATAGTTGCTATGGCAAAATCCAGAACCATTACCGGTTCTGGCAACATGTTCACATATAGGTATCTGAGGTCTCACAGTAGCACAGTGCCAGGGGCCCTGCCCTACATGTATATAAACACCTATGAGGAAGCTGGGTACCCCCAGTTTCATTTACCTATTTCATGCAGCCTAACCAGCCAATTCACCCCTAGTTGTGAGCATAAGGCTAAGGGCCCTTTGAGCCCCTTTTTCAGGCTGCATGTCACTGCATGCCTGGTTGACCCTTCCTGGGCCAACCCTTATGGTTTTTGTGCAGGTCACTGGACACTGGCAAGGACCTTGCTGCCATTTCCTTGTCTTAGGGCATAGGATCTAATGCACCACGACATTCTCTAGCATAGTAAGGAAGGTATTAAAAAGGTTCATTTACCATATGTTTCATCAGCGCATCCTGCCTCGGGCTCCATGGTCCCTGCCCGAGCCTGTGACCTGGGCATCCTCAATCATGTGGGCATCTTGCATGCTGTCTAAGAAGTGGTGGCGTCGACTGGGGATGGTCGATATTTGAGTCCGGAGGGGATGTGAGGTGGCCAGTGTGGCTGCCCTCACTATAATTGCCCTCACTATAATTGAGCTCCCTAACATTTGACAGCAAGCTCAGAGCAGAACAGGCACATTGTGTTCAGGGCAGGACAGGTACATCAAGTCTGTGCTATGGATCGTTTACATAAACGGGGCCCTCCGAACCTCAGGACATGACCTCAGAATCAACCATCACCTTCAGAAAAGTGCTCTGGGTGCAGCATATGGTCCAAATCGTCACCAGCTTCTACAGGTGTGGAGTTGTATGGCACTGCTGAAAGCTGGCCATGTTGAAGTGAAAGGGAGGTGGAAGCTTCAGACGAGGGAACGTCAGGGTGCATCAATCTTCACCCAAGCACATCAAGCAAGCATTGCCACAATTGAGGGTCTGAGAAAAGATCCCCAACCATTGTGGCCGACCTCGAACTGTGATCATGTGATAAAGAGAAGGCGGTGAGGGCATGGAGATCACAGACCCACTCAAAGGAGTCAGTCAGTGGCACCTGCATTCCGGTTCAGGTGAGCTCGATGTGGGTGGTGTCAGCGAGCTTCTGAGGCTATGGATCAATCTAAATAGAGGAGAAAAAGGAAGACATAGGACATGTACCAGGAGGGATCAGACTCAGTGGCACCATTCATTCCATTCAACCACAGCGGGACGTGAATTGGACAGAACATGTATGCATTCCATGGACAGAGCCTCAAGCAGCAGAAGGTATTGATGTATGTGCAGGGTGTAGACAGATTGCTGTTCATCAGGGATGCCATCTGGTATGCGAGACATGGCAAGACGAGAATAGGGTGAAGAGTGGCAATGGCTGGAAGGGGCATGAGAAGGGGTGGGCAGGTTGAGATGTGGACATGTCCAAGGACTGCAGCTGTGGACCGGGTGAGGTACTGATGAGAGACCGTGTTTGAGACAATGCCAGAAAACCCCAGCATATGAGCACAGGCCAAGAAACAGGTAAAACCATTGGGGCAGCACAGGCAGGGTGTCCAAAGAATGAACAGGGCACCTTCAGATCAGGAACAAGGAAACTTCTGTGGTACGGGACGGCCGCTGAGATGGGTCCTCAAGAAATGCAGTGAGCGGAGTGCAACACAGGTGAATAGAAGGCAAGGGATTCAGAATGAGATGTGATGGGGTGGTCTGCAGCAGCAGGCCCTCTAAGGAATTTGGAACGAGACACGATGGGGTGGTCTGCAGTGGCAGGCCCTCCAAGGAATTCAGAACGAGATGCGATGAGGTGGTCCACAGTGGCAGGCCCTTTAAGGAATTTGAAATGAGATGAGTGAGGTGAGGGAATGAGTTACAGGACCAATCAGGGTCCGATGTGTGATTGAGTCTCAGGTGAACGCACCCTGAGGGCATAGTATAAAAGGGTGGTGTAGTTAAGTAGTTGGGGGGAGCTCGGACGGCATATTTAGGAGCTAGAGTATGCGAAGAGGCTTGCACAGCAGTGCACAGAGACAGCAGTCTCCCTCTCCTCTACAACCCATTGCTTCTACTTCATGATCTAATCAGAATCTTTGCTCTCACTGTTGAACGTGGTTGACTGACCACCAAGACATTGCCACTGAGATGGTACACCCACCTCCCAAGACTCCTATACTCTGTCCAGAAGTTATTAAACTCGCCCTGGAACCATTCTATTGCACGTATCTCATGTATATCATCCCAGCCCATACACTCTACATGGCTGGTGATCTACTGGGTACCGTGTTGATTCACTTCTTCACCATATTTTACATTTGGCTCTTGCATTGGCTTTAGATGCAGACCTTCCCTGTACTGTTCCCCCTTCACCCCACCCAGTTGTTTGCTGTCCTTTCACAGCTAGCTGAGTACTCATAATCACAGCGCTGAAAGGAGATCTGCGCAAAGACCTACCCAACAATGGTCTCCTTCACAGAAAAGTTCCACCAATGGGCCACCAAGACCAACTTGGGGCACACTGCACTCATCGGCTACATCGCTGAACATAGGAACAAGGATGTGCACCAAGCAATGGTGACATGAGACAGTCTAGGTATCACCAACCCGACCACATGGCCGAAGTATCTCGACCTCTGTCTCCAACTAGAATCCAAGTTCAGGGCCAACAAGGCAGGACAGCATGGAAACATGACATCATCATCACAAGCACCTCAAGCAAAGAAGGACCCTAATGACATGGATATAGACTGCGTCTCCCAGCTCACGAAGGAACAGGAAGGCTGGCTGAAAAAGAAGCTCTGCATATGATGCGAAAAACATCCCTTCATATTCAAACAGTGGTGCCCTGACCCGAAGTATCAAGGCAAATTGGAAATGCCTCGATGGGGACAAGTGGCAAGAGCAGTAACTACGGCAACTGAGACCAGCAGTTCCGATAGCGGCAAGGTGAGAGAAGAAGTGGTCCATGCTTTCCTCACCAGCTATGATGCGAAAGGGAAAGAAAAGGAGTCCGAACTGGCACTGGTTATTGAGGCAGCTAGGATCACAGAGGTGGAAGATGATGAGGATTTTCTTCGACGAGTTCTCTGAGGTCTGGCCAGAGTTCCCACAGACATTGTAATAGTACCTACTCACTCTCGCATGTACCAGTGTCTAGATATTGCATCAACTGGTTCATCGAAACATGTGATCGATTTACCTGTCTACCTCAAACAGGGAGTAAGGGAAGTCCAGACTGAGGTGCTCCTTGACTCAGGAACATATTCTTGCTATATCAACGAACGGCTGGTTGACAGGCTAAACCTTGCTATGATCTCACTTGAGAAGGAGATCAGGGTTTACAACGCAGATGCATTGCACAACAAAGGGGGAACTATTAAGAAAAGGGTTCTTCAAGTATAACTATCAGAAACCATACAAGCAGACAAAGCCTTCTTGTCACCGATATTGGACACAAAGATGTTATACTAGGTATGAGCTTCCTCAAGGAGCATAATCCCAAAGTGAATTGGGGAAAGCTTTATATCGAGTTCACCCGATGCCCACAATGATGCACACCCTCAAAGGTAGCAGTCCAGAAGAAGGACCTGGAAGACACAAATATCCCCCACATCGAAGACTTGATGGAGTTCATCAGTTCCCAAGAATTAGGTGACACTTGGAATGACATGGACAGCTTCATCAAATGGGTGTCACTATCAGAAGACCCTGATGCACAAGCCTTATATGGGTCTTGACACCAAGAGGAATCAGGATAGAACACCACAGAACAGAGAACAGGACAAAAACTACTGGTCAGCCTATGTCCCAAACACCTCCATGAGTATGGCGATGTGTTCTCCAAGAAGCAGTCAGAATGAATGCCCACCAGAAAGCCCTATGATCATTCAATTGAACTTGTTCCAGAGGCATCATTACCATGTTGGCAAAGCTATATCCTATGAACCTTCAAAAAAGAAATTCGCTCGACACGTGGATAGACCAAGAGTTG